ACTCANCAGTCTGCTTTACCGTTTCTCACGGTGTTGTCGCTTGCAGATTTCTTATACTTTTTCTTCTACCCTGAAGATGGGGGCGATACGTTCCTCCGAAACGTCGGTTAACACCACATATACACGGTGCCAAATCCCAGAAGACTGCTTTCTTCATAGTCACCGCCGTGAAAGCCTCAAATCTTACATACTAACGCTGAAGATCGCAATGTTAATTGCCAGCCCTCTCTCTCTCGCTCTCATTTGTATTTTATTCCACAGAGTGAGGGTTTGACTGTTGGAGAAAATACCGTAGTTAGGCCTTTGAATACCTAATTGTTTTAGTTGATTTACGACTTTCATAACTTCGTGTTCTATTGAAAATATAATGAAAGTTAATTAGGTTTAATGTACCCGTATATATAATATTCAGTGAAGGATATTTCCGAAGGAGAGAGAGACGTGGCAACTCCGACAACCAGATGGAAAGACAGATTTAAATCTTCTGAACATCAGAACGGACTATTAGAACCTAATCCTTGAGATGGAAGAAGAAGAGGTATGTTACGTCATACGTGCTAAGAATGGAGAAGGGGGATTATGAGAATCGTTGGAGTAATGAAGTCCAACCTATTTCAGAGAGACGTCATATCACATTTTTTCCCTATATATAAAAATCGGAGCAAAGATAGTGCACATACTTTCTGATACATGATTGACCTTGATGATGTTACCTTGGAAACGAAATCGATTGTTGTTCAGTACACATTTGTCATTACACAAGCTAGGACATTTGTACGTTGCGTAAGTACTGTTGTCCCTAGTGCGGGTTACTTTTATTTTGATGAAGACATCGCGTATGCGGTTTTATTTAGGGCGTTGGTCTCCCTAAATAGTTTAAATTTAATCAAAAACTTCACAGCCGTCTTCGAGAAAGTCACAACTTTGCCTTTTGGGGGCCTATCTGAAGGGCCCCTATTTTTGGAGCTAGAATGTTCATATTCACCTAGCGCCGACCTATAGTGGATAAATTTGTAAATACTTAATACGAATAAGTTCGGTTGAACCGTTCAGGCGCTAGCGAGGGCGCGTATATACATACATACACATAGACGGACGGGCAGCACCCCAGAACTCATTTTTTTGCGTTCATGGGTCTGAGAACGTGTAAATCCTTAACAAAAAACAAAGCCTTTTTTTCCACAGTCGCAGTACTTTCTCACGTACGAGGTAATGTAAAGCCCGCTCCGCGTTAGTTGCAGCGAGTTGACGGGAACACCAACGGAGGCGCAACTTGATGGCTTGCCGGAGGCCGCAGGCACTAACATTTGCGCATGGACATTGGTAATAATAGTAATAATACGCAGAAAAGGCAGGTTTCAAATTCCGTCTACGAGACTTGGCTCACCAGTTATCAGTGAGGTGTATGTGTAGGCTACTCTTATTTTTTACATGTTAAACAACAGAAATATTTATTAACTTGAAGAGCACTGCTTTCTGCAATATAACGCCGTGTAGTCTGACATAACCGCTCTGCTTGCTGCTTGTTTCTTGGTGGTTGGTTATTTGGCTTACTTTTCGGCCCTGAAGTTGAAGATTTCTGTAAACTTGTACTACACTGCAGGAGCTCACTTCCCAGACGACAGTAGTACTCGTAGTGACCGCCATGATAACCTCAGACCCAACAACTTGTTTGTTAGAGCTATATGAAGCACGTTATTACAAAATCTCTTTGAAGTGATGTTTCTAAGTAATTTGAAATTTTCCTTAGCCCTTTTCCAAGGACGCTGCTAACATATTTTACTACCTTTTTGGTGTTTAGGAGCACTGAATTTTGCCTTTTCAGCGCATTTATGTGTTTCGCATATTTCCCACAGTGCACAGCGATTATTTCCCTGATGCACATAACCAGTTGGGCTTTATGTTGAGGAGTCATGCTTGTCTGTGCTGTAAAAGCTGAATTTTAAACATTCTTTGTGTAAACCTCCGGCCTCACCGCCCTGACTTCACTGTCACGTAGGTGCAAACATTCAGCTGTTGTGACAAAATCAAGTTTGTATCTTAAGAGCTCATTCCTTCACAGGGAACTGCATCACCGACATGAATTTTCTGCGAGAGATGTTGTCAGGATGGCTAGTAGCGCAGTTAAACCAGGTCAGGGAACACGTCGGAACACTAGCGCCACTTACTGCAGTCGTCTGAATGGCGCTCGCTCGTCTTTAGATAAGTCGTGATCTAATTGTGCTACGGAGACGATCTGAGGGGCTTTCAGTCCTTCAGTGTATAGAGATAATGAAGATGTTACAATATGTCTCAGTTCCCGTACAGACACTCACAAAAAATGTTAATCATAAAATAATGTATTCATGACGTAATGATATGTCGGATCTGTTATGCATTTTCAAATCATGAATGTAACGTAAACCCCGGAGCGCTTTTTATCAGCAACAGAAATCTTAAGCTTCTGCATACCAAATCTCACTTCTCCACACTTCGTAGGGTAGGAGCATTGGACACAGTGAGGGGACAAGCTGGAGACCTGGAGACGCTGAAATCACTGGCAGTTTGCAACCGAAGCCATGTATAGTGCATACGTCTCTAAGATATGCGATCGCGAAGTAATTTGTCCATCCAAATGCCGAGGGTTCGATTCCAGAAACCTCACAGTAGTCGATATTGTGTTGCAGCAGTTTTGTAGAATTAAAATCACTGTAGACAGGCGAGACTTCAAATATCACAGACAGAAGTATCAGTTTAAGTCCTGGAAACCTTCTGTGACTGTCCTGAGTTCGATTCGACGCGTCAGCCGTTCATCATGCGACGGCAGGGTGGCAGATGATCTGTATCCGTACATAACAAATGCGCAGTCATTTCTCTAAGTGTCCATCCATCCGATTGTAACGCCTTTTAAGGGGCAGAAATCCTGATCAGAGTTACCCAAATTCATGGATCAGTGGTATGAGTTTGGATCTCGGAGGAAGTATCACATCGCTATTATAAATTTTGTACCTTCCAAATGGCAGGGCTAATAACAAAAGGACAAATTACAATTCTTTTAAAGAAGAAGAGATTCAATTTTCAGTATTAACCACAAGACGCTCAAAATGTATCTTTTTAAATTTCTATGACGTACATCCTTTTATGTCGAGCCGGGATAGCGCAGTCAGTAGCGACTGGCTACGGTCTGGACGACCGAGGAGTCGGAATTCGAGTCCAGGTGGGGCTAGTTTTTCTCTTCACGCTGTCCAGACCGGTTTTGGGGCCCACCCATCTTATCCAGTGAGTACCGGGGGTTAAACAGCCGAGGCGTGAAGCTGACCAGTCTCTTCCAACTAGTGCCGAGGTCAAGAAAGCGTGGTACAATTTTACATTTCTTACGTCCTTTTATTCCCACCCACTGAAAAGAAAGTAGCCAACATTGCTGGATTTGTAAGACGCTTCAATACTTTGGCACGAAGCTCATCAAAACATACTGATAAATTGCTTTCCTACCTCACAGAAAACACCGCGTCTCCGTTACAGAGACCAACAGGTTAATCGCTGCTTATTGTGAGAATCATAAGGGAACAAACGAATACACTCTGTTGGGAAAACGCAGTCACTTTTATTGTTAAAGCAAGTGGCACAAATAGTAACCATTCTGCTTTACAGTGTTGAAACATGTTCACAGAAACACGCTCGAGGCCATTAGTTTGAAATAGAAAAGAATGAAGTTTGTTCTTTCATCCTCTTCAGAAAAACAGTTTATCACAACATTTTGGTGCCCAAAAATTCATTCACACTCTAAATCGTGTCAGCGAGGGAAGGCGAAGGTCGCGTTGTGCATCCTGTTCCTTCAGTACTAGAATGAACCGCTGACTGGTAAAAATGTTTGTTTTAACGTTGCAATGTTAGATCAAGCCGTTGGCACCGGCGCGTGGGGCATCTTCAGATGGGAAGCTACGAATGTCCGGACAACTGATGTCCGCTCTTTGACAAGTTAACATGTTGAGGCGTTCTGTGTGGAACGTGGGCAAGGAAGTTTGCATGAAAACATACAGAGAATTTGCCCAGAGGAAAATGTTTAGTTTGACCTAGAAGAGGTGTCCCATATGAGAAACAGGACAATTCATGGTCAGATCATGTAGTATTGTTATGGTAATGAACAGATGGGCTGGATATGTAGATTGAAACGCCATGTCTCCTAGACTCTGCAGTCCGTGAAGTGTCTGCTTGCATATGTTAGGAAGTCCACTTTAGTATTTAATGGCCGTTAAAAATATGCATTCAACGCTGTCTATGTTTTTTATTTGAGTCAAACAAGATATTCTTGTGATCTGCTCATTTCGGAGAGAACAGCCTGCGACAGAGAAGGTCCTTGAGTTCGAATTGCTGAAGTGGCAGTTCGAATCGCTTATGACACCGTTTGGCACGTTCCTTTCTCGTTAGTCTTGGGTCGGCAAATTAAAAAATCCGAATTTTACATGCAACCCACATTTGAATCAGATTAGTTCATATTCCGCTCTGTAGATGGCAGAAGGAACTTAGACCGTTTACGCCATCTCTTGCTAATAAGGGAATTACCTCCACGAGACTATTAAAACAGTTCACGTACAAAAATTTATAACAAGAGAGGAAGTTCCTCTGCAGTACGACGGACATGGGTTGCAGAATTGTTCGTTGCTGTGCTGTAATAATATACCTCGTATGAGAGTTAGAAGCATGTTAGTAGGATAGTAAGTAACCTTCGTACCGGTTGGGCTCTTGGCAGTGGCTGAAGCTCGAAGTAGTGGCTCTCCGCCAAAGATGATAATAGATGGCAGAATGTCTGTGTGCCGAACAATATAACATTGAGTATGTATTGCACGGTTTGTACTATCCACTGGTGGTGCGCAACTGTAGTGATCCGTGGTATTTGTAACGATACAGATCACATGGATCGCATGAGGTGGTGATAGCGTTGGAGTAGGTTTTTGAGAGAATTTCGAGTTGTTGGAGATGCCACAGTCGCACAGGAAAGCAGGAAAGTAACGAAGGTGAAGAACGTGAAGAACATTGCTTTATTGTATGCTGACTACTTATGTGCAGCTGAATTTGAACGTTTATCTAAGAACCGTGGCAGTCCGTCACTTTGGTCCGGGTTTATTTACAGTAGCGATAGACTAAAAACCTATGCATTGCGTTTATTTTGATTAAAAGTATTTTTTATTGTACATGCCAATAATTACACGAAAAATCTCGTTCACTTTTGATGTGTGGCATCTCACATTGTACATGAGGGTTAGTATTTAAGGATGCTCTCGCGCAGTTCGTATCTTTTGTATAATAAATATTCTGAACATTATTAAATTTTCAGCAAACTAACAAGGTTATAACGGCGGCCACACTACGTAAAGTTACATAATTAATGTCCACAGGCAGGTCTGATGTCTCATTTCCAGGATTGCAGTATTCTTATCAGTTGACCATGTGTTACTTTATTGCAGTGGTGCATTCCATCTGGGGGAGTGTTGTTGCATTTTAAAATATAAATTCCATTACACCCATGTTTAACCATGGCTTCCAGCTCTGTAGTACTAGGATATTTAAAATCTCCTGTCACTGGACTAAAGGAGGAGGAGAAAATTACTGTTTGCTAAAAAGGTTCAGCCATGTTGAACAGCAGTTTGTGGTCCAGCATGAAGCCTTGGACAGATTATCATGTAACTTCTCACTTGCAGCAAAGAAGTATGATTTAAATTGTTCTGTTTTTAGTGCCGAGTTCCCCAGGGGTCCGTGTGTTAGCATCTGTATAATTGCTGAATGGATCCTTCTGAGGTAAGGAAACAGTGTTCAGAGTTGTCAGCGTGCAGGTAGAACCCAGTATTGATCTTGAGATTTAAATGACTAAGTCATAATAAAATGATGTGTGGAACTGAAGTCGTCTTTGTATTTTCTTGAACTGAGTGACAAAATAGCTGTGTTAGCTATATCAGTGCCTTCAGTGTACTTAACCTCAGTGCTTTTCAGTGTTTGTGTGCAGCTATTGTGACCCATCAGAAAAAGTAAAGCTTGCAGTATGCAGATCCGTAAATTTACCCATTTTGTATGAGTGAAATTAGAGCTCTCATTCTAACAGAAGAACGTAGAGTATGTCTGTGCCATATAGCTCATGAGGTTGTCAGCTTCCCACCATGGCAGCCTGAGTTCGATCCCAAGTTAGGTCATATTGAAGCAGGGTTTCTTTGAGTATTTCTGTTACCCTGCCAATTCTCATTTAACCAATTGTTGTACGTTCATTAATCATCCAATTACTGAGGCTTGTTACTGATAATGTAGTTAAATAACACGTATAAGAAATAAAAACGAGTGTGTTTGAGGAGAATATCAGTTAGGAGAGCGGAAGTAAGAGGAGAATGGAGAAAATTACAGATTGAAGAGATTCATTATTTATACTATTTACCTCATATTACAGTGATCACGTGGGGCCTGTAGCGTCATGAGGGAGATGAGAATCTTGCACAAAACTTAATCATAACACCGTAAGGAAACATCACTTATCCCACTGTATATATGAAGCATAAATGTAACAGTGAGATGACACTCGCTGGGAATTCACCGAAAAGCTGTGAGGCATGCCAGTTATCAGTCTTGCACACAAGTGCTGACAGCAGAGCATGATAACAGGCTTGGTCATGTTGATTTTTCAGGATGTCACAAGTAATGCTTTTATACTTTACAGATCTTAATTACACACCTAATGCTGTTTATTCTACTACACAGTCCATCACCAGTGCACATGCTGTGCAATTTTAGCGCGTACCAATGGACTATGATTATGATGTTTTAAATCATAAAGCATGCAGTCACAAATGTGACAAATGGACAATATTAGCGCAGTGTAGGAGTTTTAGTATAGTAAGACACCTGAAGATGGGCATTTAGTGCTCAAACGTGTTGTGTTGAAAGTGAAAGTGTAAGAAAGAAGGAACAATTGTTGACAGACTGTGTAGCACAATAAACAGTATTAGATATAGTAATGCAACAGGATGCTTAAATACAGGATTGCTTAACTACTTACATTTAATGAGGCTGAGGTGGGATTATGAATGCATTACACACTTGATGGAAAAATATAGACTGAGTGCATTTGAGAAGGGTGCTGATAAGAATACTTGGACTGATGAGGGATACAATGATGAGCGGTTGAAGAAAACTCCAAAATGAGAAGCTTCATAACTCTTCTCCAAATATAATGAGAATGATCAAGTCAAGGAGGGTGAGGTGGGCATGTAGCATGCATGGAGGGAGTCGTGCATGTAGGATTTTGGTGGGAAAGCCAGAAGGAAAGAGACTACTGTGAAGATCTTGATGTAAACGGGAGACTAACGTCAGTGTATGTCTTAGAGGAATAGGATGGGGTGATATGGACTGCATTCATCTGGGCCAGGATGTGGGCCATTGGAGTGCTCTTATGAACCTGATAATGAACCTTTGGGTTCCATAAAATGTTGAGAAATTCTTGGGTAGCAGAACAAATGGTAGTTTGTCAAGAAGGACTCAGCCCCATGGAGTTAGTTAGTTAGTTAATTAATTACTCACTCACTCATTTTCTTGTATGTTTATGCTGGCTTCCATATTTCAGTAATTTAGATTTTTATAAAAAATGGAATATACAACAGGTTTTTCATAGCTCTTAAATGCTACTGCTATAGAGCATGTTGCTAGTGGTACTTACAAAGGGGGTTGATATTGTTGGCTCTGGATTTTGGCTGATAAGTGAAAAGTTTTTCTTATGTCGCCAGGTTGATGCAGACCAAGGCTGTGAAGTCACTGGCTTGTCAGTTGAGAGAGAAGGAACAGAGGCGGGCGATGCACCTCTTCAAACAGAGTTTGTGGATGTTCAAGGGTGCTGCAAAGCAATCAAACAAGAGCAGGAGGATACTGCATGCATCCAAATGCAGTTTGGCTTTGTGGATGTTAAACGTGTCAAACTGGAGATAGAGTATCCTGATGAAGAAGTTATAGTGCCAGATCTTAAAGATTGCACTGATTTGGGTGATGCTGGGTCAGGCAAGGAAGTCTCAGCTGAAAATGAACGCCCATATCCATGCCCAAAGTGTGACAAGACATTCAAGAAGCTGGACAACTTGAGAAAGCACTCTCGCACCCACACAGGGGAGAGACCCCATGCTTGTCCTGAGTGTGACAAACGTTTTGCACAGATTGGCACACTCAAGAAGCACCTGCTGATCCATACGGGAGAGAGACCTCATGAATGTTCTGTCTGTGGTAAGTGCTTCACGCAGCGTGGCACCCTGCAGAAGCACATGCTAATTCACACAGGAGAACGTCCACATGAATGTCCAACATGCCTGAAGCGCTTCACAGAAGTTGGAGCACTCATGCGGCACAGCGTGACACACACAGGGGAGCGTGCATACCGCTGCCAGACCTGTGACAAGACATTCAGACAATTGGGTGCTCTTCGGAACCATTACCGAGTTCACGCACAGGGCCGATCCTACATCTGCCAGGACTGTGGGAAGGCCTTCAAGGAACCCAGTGCACTGGAAAAGCACACTGTGGTGCACTTGGGGCTGCACCCATATGCCTGTGACTTGTGTGATAGGAGGTTTGCGCAGCCAAATACTTTGAAAGAGCATGCCCGTATCCATATGGGACATGTTTGTCAGGAGTGTGGGAAACGTTTCACCCAACTGGGTGCCCTCCAGGAGCATGCTCTCATCCACAGTGGAGTAAGATCACATGAGTGTCAGGACTGTGGAAAGAGATTCATGCAACTGGGGCACCTCAAAAAGCATGCTCATGTCCATGAAAAGTTCCGCACTGCTCATATGCAACCCATTGTTTAGGGGTGGACTGGTGATTTGGCATGATGTGGCCTAATTATCACAGCAACTTGTCAGAATACAGTAGACTCCCGATTGTCTGGGGTGGTTGGGAAATGAATGTCTCCAGATAATCAGTGAGAGGAATATGTGACTGACTTGTGAAGTTGGGTTTAATAAAGCAACACACACATTTATAAGCTGGTTTTACTGGAATGCTGTTTGTAGAAATGTAAGTGTGGTTTCTGAGAAGCTCCTGCATCTTTTTCAGGTTTCCAAGTACATATTCAAGCATGAAATAAAACTCCCCTTGTTTTTTACTTGTTCCTTTTTAAAAAGCAATATCACACAAAGTTTATCTTTTGATGTTGGACATACCAGTCAGTTTTCTAAATAAAGTACCCAGTTAATCAGTTTTCTACGATATTCCATAGAGCTTGCATTAAGTTATTTGGTGCACTGTTCTGCCAGAAATACAATAACTGTCTTCTTTTATTAAGTCTGTACTGTGAATTAAATGATATAACAAATTTTGGTTTTGTGATTCACTGGGGATATTGAAGCAGAAAATTTGCAGAAATAATCAACACACTTAATGCATAACAAGCTACTAGTCACTCAGCTTCTGAACATATTCCCCATGTTTTATGGAAACTGAAAATGTTCACAAGAGCCCAGCACTCGTCCCCGTTATGAGCTATATGAATCCAGTCTACACCCTGTCACCCTGTTTCTTTAAGATGCTTTGAATACCCCAAGAATCTAAGAGTCTCCGACATTTAATATTAGTTAATATGGAATAGTAATAACAATTTCCAAAATGAAATTGATGGCAATGAATTATTAATAAGGGCAAAAATTGTGATGAATGTAAAGATAGTAGGACAGATGAAATGGATTTAAGCACCCAGGAAATCTCCAACTGTGGGAATGTGTACCTGAAACATTGGTCATTAAATGTAAGAAAATAGAGGGTTTTGAGATTACTTTAAAAATACCTTAAAGGTGGTTAAATTATGATAAGGGTGGATAGGCTACAAATTTAGATGTTTGAATAAGCGACTTGAATAAAAGCATACCTTTGAACACCCAAAGGGCCCAATGCCAAGCAGAAACAAAAATCTTCGGGCTTTGGAAGAAGGTGGGGCAGTGAACAATGCAGCGAGTAGTGTGGACCTATATCTTCACAGTAATGAATGAGGCATAAGTTCCCAGCAATTTATGGAACCCAAAGGTTCATTACCATGTTCACAAGAGCCCTCCACTGGTCCCAATCCTGAGCCAGATCAATCCAATCTATACCATCCTATCTTTCTAAGATCCATTTTAACATTGTCCACCCACCTATGCCTTGGTCTTCCCAGTGGTCTCTCTGCTTCTGGCTATCCCACCAATATGTTATATGCATTCCTCTTGTCCCCCATTCGTGCTACATGCCCTGCCCACCTCATCCTCCTTGAGAATTTTCGTAACAAGTTTATTTTTTACGGTGAGGAGTTGTTAGCCCAACCCCCAAGGTGGAGGACCACCCCATGTTGGCTGTTCGCGGCTGCTTATTCAAAATATATGCAGCTTCCCACCATACCCGAAGAGCGTCTCCATCCGCAGCCTGAGGACGCGCCATGCCTAGGGGACAACGGACTCTCGTAACACTTCAGAGTAATGACAGGTTAGAAAGTGATGCACAATGCTGGCATTAGTTCTTGATTTACGTTGCGGGGGTGGGAGGAAACCCTTAAGACTTTTTTAAGACTGTGAAAACCGATAATTTTAAGGCCGTCGACATGGGTGTTGTAAAACATTTCTGAGAAGTACAAATGATTTATTTAATTCTCATACATATACGCACTCGGCAGTGTTTTGTACTACAAATTTTTCATAAAAATAAAGCTACATGGAATCATCGTCGATCATTGTCGAGTCATCTGCATTACGCAGTAAGAAGTAATGAATGTTTTGTGATTTGTGTGACTGTAATGTGTGGCACTCATGAAGTACACGAAGAAGATCGATGTTTTAGTGACACTGAGAGAATTCAAGCATTATATAAGTGTTCCTGAGCACTGGAACAATAGTGCAAATAACTCATGTAAGTTGCGGTTGACCAGAATGCAAATCTTAGCCTTAAAATAATTTTCAAGGGAATGATACAGTGATCGATGTGTGGGTTAGACTTAACTTCACTTTCTTACAATTTTTTTTGTAACTTACCAACGATTGTATGGTTGTAGAAACAGAAGTTGCAGGATTGTTAGTGCAAGTGTACGCCGTACAGTAACTGCACGAGGAATGATGTAATGCGGACTTTTTGGCCGAGTTTGAAGATTCGGTGTTATTTTGTGAGGAAATAATGTATATAGTGATGAGATAATTGAAATTACACTCCTACATATACATGTAGGACAGTTGAAGGTTTGCAGAATGTCAGATCAAAATGTGAAGGTCAGAGTGCCAACTAATTTCCTTATCACTGTTCTAATCTGTTTCATCATTCTTAGAACAACTCATGTCTCAATTAAAGTTTAGAGGTTGCAAAGAATTGTAGGCATGGCCATAACAGTTGCTATGGAACATGCTTATTGTCTGTTAATCGTATGGTCTAACAGGTATGTTGATGCTCGGTTGATGAGGTTCACATATTTTGATAACAGTTCTACAAAATAAGCGTGACTTTTGTAGTTATGTTTGAAATTCACTATAAACCAATTCATGAATAAATTTGTTGTTTCATGTTGCTTGATAATTGGCAACAGTAGTTTCTTCAGTCAATATATATGCATTTTTCTAAGGTTAGTGTGACTAATGTGATACAGGATTATGTTAGAATGTTTATATAGGGCAAGGCAACTGTAAGTAAGATAGATGTGAGTTCATTAACATGCGGAAGAGAGTCATAATATTAGCGTCTGTTCTCCACTGCCTCCTCAGTTTTGATGTTTCTGTGTACTGATGACAAAGTTCATGTGGTGCATGTGTACCATGCTCTGGTTGATAAAATGTGTTCCCTGTCAGTGTTTCTGATTATTGAAGGGATCATCATAATTAGGAACAGATCCATTGAGCAGGTTTGTCTAGCCATAAAAGCTCGACTTGTATTTAGGAGAAGCTACATCTGAATCGCAGCTGTGACACTGGCTAGGTTTTTCATGGTTTTTGTCATTCCCTCCAGGCAAATTAGTACCATCATTAGGCCATGACTCTTTTTTCCAAATCTTTTCTAATTCATTATTCATCCTGCCATCTTGACATCATGTAGTCTCGATACTGAAAGCACTGTAAAATAACACATGAAAAGGAAAAAGGGCATAATTTTACAGTTAAGTGACAATGTAGTTCAGTCTCTGTAGTATGCATGAACTGTCACTAATTGTCTTACAGATGTAGTACATCTGGACAGGTATGGAAGGCAGTGTACAGGAAAAGTTACAGTACATATTGACCATGAGCTGGGCTCTGCTTGCTCTCTGCTTCATGCCAGTTTCTTTTTGCTTGGCTTACTCATTAACCTGAAGATGGAGGCAGTAAGTGCCCCTGAAACATCTGTTGAATTTCACTGCATGACAACATTATGTGTCCCAGAACTGTGTAGTCCATGTCTTGAGAAGCTGATGATGGTGTACACACTGCGGGCCTGAGCATGATATTGTCACGTGTTGGGTGTATAACGCAACAAATAACTTCACGCCTTATTGGATATAGCGAATTTTATTGCACATTCGCTCTTACAGTTGCAAAATTTACAGATTCACAACTACTGCTGTCTTCAGTATTACGATTATTAGACTGCAATTAACTGGTGAGTGACTCTCTGGCTAACTCTTAACTAACTGCTGGCTAGATTCCAACTCAACTCGTAGGCTGCTGCCTTGAGAACTGTCTTCGGCGGCTGTGTAGTTCCCTTATAAACCCTCAGCCGGACAACGGGAAAACAGTTACGTAATAGGCACCACTGTTGTGTGGCGCCATGTTTACAGGTGTTACAGGCAACGCTGTCAGGAGTTGTTTATGGCTGCATAGCAACCGCGGCATCCCTTGGCCACGTCACTGCTGGCGGGGTAGGGGAAGGAGTGTTGACTTGCCTATTACCCTAGTAACGACAGCGCTCCGATGGTGTTACGTCACTGCTGGCGGGGGGGGGGGGTCCTGCATAGCGCAACACGTCACAATATGTCCATTTGTTGAAACCAGCATTGGTCAGACAGATTTGATTGATTGTTCGTCAGTATTCAGCAACCAACAGTGTGGTCTATCAAACAACAGTCAGTCTGTCAGCTCTGTTTCCATGATAATATAGGAATGGTCAGTCATATATGAGAAGGTATGTTCAGTGTCTTTGCATTGATTTTTTAAAATTGTGGTAGCCCTCTTGTCTGTAACTGCCTGTTATTATTGTTAGGTCTGTTTTCTGCAGCAACTTCCCTGGTTGATGACAGTGACAGTGAACTTGTGATCCAAGGTTTTCTCAGCAGTAAATGATAATATTATGTATGGTCTTCAGGGTGTGATACCAGAGTAATCCACGGCGACTTTTTGTCCTTCCAAGTAATTGTCATCTGCTTGGGACAGATAGTGTAAGAATTCTTATTTACTAATTCAGTTGGCCACTAGATCAGGAAGTCTGTCACTCATTGTGTGAGCAAGTCAGAAAGTTGGTTATATTGTATTCAGAAAAGTATCTCTGTAGGCAGGATTTTGCATCAGGAAAGCTCATTCTTTGTCATTTTGGCAAGTGTGTGTAATTCTTTCTGCTCTTAATGTCCATTGTTTTTGTAGCAGAAAGGTAGATTTTGTTGTTTTTTGCTCCAACAGAAAAGGGATCTGTTGTTAGCTTTTGTCTTATCTTTCTTCCTTCATAGTGATGATGGATTAGTTATTTTCAAAATGTGTGCATGACCTTGCTCCTGTTTTTCAGAGAAATCAGAACTATTACCAGAAATTCCAACTTGACTTGATTTCAGCTTGCTTTAAAAAATTTCTTTCTGTTTCACCTACTCAGTGAATGGTTTAGCCAGGGAATGGATACAGGGAGTTCTAAAGCCATGGAAACAGTGGGATCTGGAGCTATAGAGGAGTACAGGCAACAGTGTCTGCAGTGTGGCTGGTTTCCTAGTCAGTATCACAGTGTATAGCAGTAACTAAGACTTTAGAAGAGAAATTAAAGTTTACTCACATAATTCAAAAGAAGATTGGGAATTTGGGTTCAAATTTCATCCAAAAGTTTTACTTCAGTACTTTCACATCAGTTTGCAGGAGTGTAAGGGTAAATTCCTAATATCTTTGACCTTTTTTAGGTTTTCAGTAGGAAACTGAGTAGTCAGTTTGGTTTGTTTGCTGGGGTCATACACATATGGGCTACTACATAATAATTAATGCCTGATAGTTATGAAGGTATGGGAAGTGCTTTGATACTGCTCTGCATCTGTATTGAGATGCTAGTGGTACTTGTGAGTTATTATCTGTGTGATATGGTTTTGCAAAATTCCAAGGCACAAATGATACCAGGCCTCAGTTTGTAGATGTGTTTATAATTTAGTGCTATGCTGTGTTATAATGGTTCAGGTGGGATATATTTGGTTAGTTATGTTGTATGCCACACTGTCGGGCGACAGAATGGGTACTTGTGGGTTGGTTCGACGGAGTCGGTCGAGCGGCAAACGTCTGTCGTATTGGTGGAGATAAACTGCTGGAAGATGCTTGATTCAAGAGAGTTTATTACACAGTAAATATGTACAACTATTACAACAGCAAGTCTGCTTAAGGCTTTAGCAGTGGCCGACTCCTAACTGCCAGAGTACCATCCTATAGACTAAACTTCGTAATCAGATTAGAGAGCATTTTGGACGGTTTAGGTCAGGGTTCTTATAGCCCTGTCTGTAGGATGGGGGGCTTTGTGAAAGCTTCCTTGGAAGGTACAAATTTCATCATATAGAAGTTTCTAGACCATTCTATTGTCATTTCATATAGTGTGTCTTCCTGGATCTTGGCTTGTTTTCTCGTACTTTAACTGATGTTTTCCATTGGCTCTATGAAGCAACGTGACTATTCTTATTTGCTTCCCTTAGTTCAAAATAAGTCTTGTTTGCCCTCTGGCGGATAACATCGGTGAAAGTCGAGTTACAGTATGTGACAAACCTGTGCTGTTACTTTTCATAATTATCATTCAATATTACATTCGGATTTAATAAAATGTTACTTATGAACCGTAACCATTGTAATTATTCTGTCCACCATATACCTGTTACATTAATAATATCCAATACATTACACCGTCATTACAACAGTTAGCTAATTTAATTCCAGGAATACTTGCTGCTATTTAGTTCAGAATATTTTGTCCTTGTGTTTGCTGCCTAGAAATGGAAAGATTAAAATATGCATAATTTTTTGCAAGTTGTTTTCTGTGGGTGTGAAACATGGTTTCTCACCCTATAAGAAGAAAAACAGAGGTTGAAAGAATGTGGAATGAGGAAGTGCTGCTCAGAATATTTGGACTGTGGAGGAAGGGAAGTCACTGTAGGTTAGAGAAAATTGTGTCACCAAACATCGTTAGGTCACTGTCTGCACATAGAGAATGTCAGAGGTGGTCACAGGCAATGTCACACATGCAACATAAGATGACTGAGTCACAAGGAAAACAGACATGTGGTTTCATGGCTGTGTGAGAGTGTTCAACCCTTGTCAGTAATGTTTACTCCATTTTTCTGGTAGTCATGAATTTTGCTATTGGAAGCAATTGCAGCCCCGTTCTTGCCAAATTGCCACCATTGACACCAACTCCACAGCCACGAGTTGTCAGTCAAGGATTTAAAACAATACAAGCATTATGTCCAGAAACATAATGTTTGTTGTGTTAATGCACAATTTTCACTAACTTTTAGAAGGATTTAAAAGTTTGTGAGCCTGAGAGCCTCCAGTTCGGTGTTCAGTGTCGACACAGATCACTTATTGTTTGTGATAAGATATCTTTATCTCAGACTGTGCTCCTTTACTGTGTTCTATCTTATTGTAGTACTTTTTTCAGTATGCAAGGACAGTTTACTATGTGCTGTAGTTAAGACCGTGATATTTAGTTTGTTGAATGAATCTTGAGTCATTGACTTCATAGATTGTGTATCACTGAATAAAAAGTAACAGTTCGTTATAGTAATGTTGTGGGAAGAACATATAATGAAGTGGTTCTGGCATAAGTTCCCATATTTTGTTACTTTCACAACTAAGTAGCTTTTCATTCCCCTAATCAATAAACCCGTTAGCCAGAATTGTGTTCATATGTTATGGTAGGTTATGTAGTTGCAGCGATGTGTAGGGTTTCATATGCTCGATTTATTGTTGTGGATTTATATGCCTTGTTCTGTTAACTACTTGCTGATTTAGCAAGCTTGTGGTGTGACAGGTTCTGTATCCAATGGCTTCGGCCTTGTATGGATGTGCTGGAACATGTAATAAATACAATACAATACAGTGCAATAAAATATTATCTCCGACAGTAGCATAGTGGCATTTCTGGGGCCCTCCAATGTAGTTATACATCACATTGTTATTCCAGCCAACACGAAGCTCAAATTTTCCAGAAGTGCTCATGTGCATTGCCAGTACAAATTACACATCTTTTTCTTCACTTATTTACTACACAGGCAACACAGCCACTTTGCAGTGCAGAGCTGTTAAATGCATGATGCAGTTACAGCAATAGATGATAGAGACTTGTGGGCACTGGTGTTCAGAATAATAGTCATTAGTTTACAGATGGAAAATGCCATGAAATTAATAATAATATTTGCATAGCACAAGCCCCATGCACCATGCCCATGGCCCTTTGGACCTGTTCTGAATCAATGTATATCTTCATTATAATAACTATTTCCCTAAGATTCATTTTAAAATGATCTTGTTGAGGTTTTCACACTGTACATGGGAAATGTCAGTGCCCCAGTGGCACTTGTCACTGAATTGGTTCAATGTCAAATTGGTAATAGCAGAGGGCATCTATTGTGTTCTAATACATGTGGTCATAACTCGTCACTTGTCGGAGCAAGTGGCTACAGTGATATAGGGTCTGTATTTGGATTGAGAGAGCCTTCAGTTTCTCTTCTTGTTGTTTTGAAAGAAAAATGGCGGGCTGGAGGATGCAGGTTTGAATGTGTAGATAGTTTCTGAGTGAGTGGCCTTCAGCTGACTCAGAACATTGCTTGTATCAGATTGGGAGGTTAGCATTTGTTAGGTGACTCACAGCACTCAGATAGCGGCAGAGAACAGCGTAGACGGCATGCTAAAGAAATTACGCTGAAAATCGTGATCCAGAAATTTGTCAGTTGAGCCAAATGTCCAGGCTGCATGAGTCTGCAGCCTTAACTACTGAGTCATGTATGCATGTCCAAAACCTTCGGAATTGGGTTTCCATTGGTCATTGCAACATAGTCTATAATTTCCTACCTTGACCTCTGCTTCCACCCCTCACGTGTAGTGGTGGGAGTCGAAGGAGGACTTCTGTTGCAGCTGTTAGAACTGTTCTCATTGCTCCTGCAATTCCCAAGCAGGCCATCCGTTGCAGTTTGCTAAGTTCTGCCTGACTTGTTTTGAGTTTAACTCTGGGCCACAATATGATGGCAGCATACATAACTATGGGTCTTACTACCGCAGTGTATATCCAGTATGTCACCTTTGGTTTCAGTCCCCAAGTTTTCCCAAATGTGCCTCTGCATGCCCAGAAGGCCTTGGCCATATTGGTAATCTTATCCAGCTGCTTTTTCCATGTCATTCCCTTGTCTAATGTTATTCCAAGGTACTTGACTTCACTGGATAACTTGTTCGTTTTACTGAAGAGGATCAGTTCCTTGAATCCCTTTGTGTTCCTCTTCCTAGTAAAGGGTATAACTTCTGTCTTATTTGGATTGGTAGACAACTTTGTGCTTTCACACCAATGTTGGACTGTGCTTTTGACAGAATAATCAGGCACAGTATATGAATGCAGTGTGACATCTGTGGTATGGTTTTGCTTTCCTTCTGCAGTTTATAAGTATCAAGGTCAGGGTGCAGTACCTTAACTAGTCAGATGTACCTTTTCTTGCTTGTAACCTCAACTGTGGATGTACACAAACAAGTCCCCACACTGCATCTGACAGAATGCATGAAGTCCTGTAACTAGCAGCTTTTAATGAGCTCCACTTAGTACTGAGGTCTAGAATGTAGGCAGCTCCCATTTCTAGGTGTGAAGCTGTGCTTTGTTCTTGCTTTTGCACTGAAATCTTGTAAGAGAATATTCAAGCAGTACTTGAGAATTGGGTCAAAAACTCATTGTAGTTCCTTAATGAGAATTGCACTTTGTATTGTCACGCTTATATGCAGCTGGGCCTCCCAGAGCAATCAGCAGTCTCGTACTATCACAGACGACATCCAGTCACTAACAAGCTCCACTTTTCTCACTGCTAGCATGATTTAAGTGATGATTGCAATTTCAGTTTTCATAGAAGAATGTCTGGTCATCTGCCAGTTCAGTTCCCCCTTGTCCCACAGCACTTCTTTCCATTAAATCTCACTTACATTGTGCTAAATATCTTGCTACTGTTTCCACTGAAGCTGACCCATAAAGACTTTGACATTCCATGTCCCTAATCTCATATTCATATCTGCTGTTTATTTCATTCCAAGAATTCCTCCATCCAAGTCGGATGTCCTGTGTGACACACATCATAATGTGCTGTGTTTGTCCCCATTGCCCCTGATAGCTGACTCCTTGTGTAGCATTAAATTACTTTTATGTGACATTGCCTTTTTGTAAAGTGGCACTGCTTCATCTTGCTGGAATGAACAGACATCAGACAAACAGAAATAAGTGAGGCATGGCTTGAGTACAGTAAACTGTGAAATCAAGTGACAGAACTGATCGTGGGGTATCTTGTAGAGTTCAGAACATGGTCCCCCAGCTCAAACCCAAGTGAACTTCTGCACAGTAAACCATAATATGAAGTCTGTGTTTCCCGCAGCAGTGAATAGGAGTATTGAGGTGTGATGATGGGATGTAGTGTGGCACATAGATGGGATGTAGTGTGGCACATAGATGGGATGTAGTGTGACACATAGATGGGATGTAGTGTGGCACATAGATGTCAGTTTTATTTTTGAGGAACCTGCTGTTTCCTCCACCTCAAAGATGTGTGCTGTATGTATGTCTGAACAGCTGTTTCCCATCTACTAGACTACATGACATCACATCCAGAACATCATGGTGTCTGAGCATCACACACATGTTCCGAGTGTTCATTGTTCAGGCTTATCAGACATCTCAGGACTCACAGCAGGATTCCCCGATAAACTGAAGGACATTCATTCGGTGATCACCTGACCAGTGAGTCAATCAGTGTTGTGCCATCAAGTGTTACAGAAGCTTGTTTATATAGTGCTCTGTGCTGTGTCTTTATGGCTCATGTGAGACGCAGTTTAGAATAAAGAATTTTTATTTGTGATTGTTATTTGAAAACTCTCATACAAATCATGAAGGAGAAAATTTAGCTTAAATTTCCCGACACCACATATCCATCTGGACATAAAATTTCCAAGTTAGTGAAGAAAGTTTGAATCCACGGCATTTTAATTGACAGAAAGCCATTAAAAAGGAATCACGTTCTAACTGAGGAAAAACTTAATGACATCGGTCACCAGTTAGAAAATTCTTGAAAGTCTTTGCAGTGATTAGCACAACAAAGTGGTGGTTCTGTTGGCAGTGTGGGGACAGCAACTAAACTATTGCATATTTGTCTGTAAAAACTTACTGTTGTTCCTGAAATTAAACCTGTAGATTATGAAAACAGAGTGAGGTTTTGTAATTGGTTTGTCAGTCATTTGCATTCTTGATCCCAAGCCAACATTTTTCACAGATGAGGCTAATTTTAATCTGTCAGGATGTTAACTCTCAAAACAACAGGTATTGGAATAGTGAAAACCCCCATGACCTAATTCAGATTCACCTTTATGACCAAATTATAGGTGTGTACTGTGAAGCCAACTCAAGGCAGGGAGGCATAATGGCTGCTGTTTCTCATTATGGTGCACTGTGACTATGAAACGCTCTGTGGATACCATGAAAATTGTTATGGCTGGGACCTTGTGGTGTGTGTATTATGAGCTGTGACTGAGGCCAACAAGCTTCCAGTGTAATGGGGACCCATGGGTCTGAACTTGACCTCTCTCCCTAGGACAGGCTTGAGGTGAAGAATGTGGGGTTCAAACTGTGGAATTGTGATGGGGAGACCTCTTGCTTGGTGACCAGTTCAAAGAGATGAGATGGACCCTAGAGGAGGAGGTTATGTGGATGGATCAGAGTTGTGTCCTGTTTCTGTGAGCTGGTGTGCTGTCCCAGTTAGGCAAACAGCAGTCACATGGTTCTGCACACACTTTTAGTGTACACAGTGCCATAATGAGAAGTGCACCGAAAACTGTCAATATTTATTGTGTAAAGAAGAGCCTTGGTTTTCTGGTCTTTTCTATCTTTTTTTTCCAGTCACACTTTCCTTTGTGCCTTTCTGTCAGTGATATATGTATGCACTTTATGTGTAAAACTAAGCCATTTCAATACGTGCACTAGTTCTGACTATGGACCTGCTGAGAAGTGAACCAGAGACCACCTGCTGTCTGTTGCAGGGATATGGATGTGAGATAGCTGTGCCCACTGTCCATGGCTTCTCCACGAGGCAAGAGCAGTCAAGAACCCACCCGAACTCTGCCAGAACGTGTGGGTCAGTTGTATTATGCTCATGGGCTGTTCTGTTCAAGTCATCCTGTTCCAGTTATCAGCTTTGCTGTGGCCATAGTTCTGCTGTGCTGGTAAGTTGCTGTCATGAGAAGCTGCCTCCTTCTTGTGTATCCCAATTCTGAGATTATTGGTGACACTGGGCCCTCAATTCTGGGAGATGAAATGTGCCAAGAGGAGAGGGCAGACAATATGAAAGTGAATTCTGTGGTATTTGTGTACTGTGTGGCGTATATGTCCTCATTGTTGCTAGGCACTGGAGCAGATCACATGAGGCTTGTACATACAGAAGCACGAGCACACTGATAGAATGCATAATTTCTTGATTTCAGCTACCCACTTCTGAACCTGCCTTTGCCAGGGAATGTCCCACAGCAACTGTCGGGAGACTTTGCAGTGCTGAGAGAGAACAGATCAGAAATTGGAGATGCACAGTTGCCACGTTGGTTCATGGGCCTGCCCCTGTGTTACGTGCTGCAGGTAGGATAAACTGCCTGTAGTTCGAACATTATTCACTCACTCACTCATGGAGCTGAGCCCTTCTTGAGAAGCCACAAATCATGCAGCTACTCAAGAACTTCCCGGCATTTTGTGGAACCCGAAGGCCCATTACCCTTCACTGGTTACTATCCTGAACCAGATCAATCCAATCTATATCTCTCTAAGATCCATTTTAATATCCACCCACCTCTGTCTTGGTCTTCCTAGTAGTCTCTTTCCTTCTGACTTTCCCACCAGTACTCTATATGCATTCCTCTTTACCTCATTCGTGTTACATGCCCTGCCCATCTTATCCCTCTTGACTTGATCATTGTAGTTATACTTGTTGAAGAGTACAGGTTATGAAGCGTCTCATTATGCAGTTTCCTCCAACCTTATGTCACTCTCTTTGGTCCAAATATTCTCCTCAACACCCCATTCACAAATGCCCTCAGTCTGTGTTCCTGCCATAATGTCAGAGACCAAGTTTCACACCCATACAAAGCTACAGGTACAATTATAGTATTGTATATTCTAATATTTATGTTTTTAGGCAACAGACAAGAAGACAAAAGGTTCTGTACTGAATGGTAGCAAGCATTGGCCAGAATCAGTCTCCTCTTAATTTCCTCCTGAATCAGGTTTTGATTTATTATAGTCATTCCCAAATATCCAAACTGTGCCACATTTTCAAAATATCTGTTTCCTATCTTTATGTCATGATTTTGCCCTGCATTTTGGTGATGAGACAGCAACATTTACTTAGTTTTCTCTGTGTTTACTTCTAGACCAACTTCCTTGCCAGCATCAATTAAAAGTTTCTGTGTTTTTCTTTATGGTATCTATGTTATCTCCCAGTAGATTCACATCATCAGCACAGATCAACAGCTGATGTGTCCCATTTAATTTCAGTCCCATCTGGTTTCCCTGGACCTTCCCAATGACATATTCCAAAGCAAAGTTGAAAAGCAGTGGTGATAAAGCATTTCCTTCTTTTAGACCATTTTGGATAGGGAAATTATCAGAGAAATGTTTACCTGTATGGGCTTTACTATGCATTTCATTTGAACACCTTTGAATCAGCCTAAGTAGTTTCATGGGTATCCCAAACTCTTATCAGAATATTGTACAATACTTCCCTCCTAACTGAATCGTAGGCTTTCTTCAAGTCTGCGAAACGCTGATGTACTGTCTCATTGTACTCCCATTATTTTCTGCAGTATCTGACGAATGCAAAAGATCTGATCTGTAGTTTGACGCTGATCATTCTGAGCCCTTATTTATTTGGATGATTATTGATGAACCTGAAATTTATTTCTAATTAATTCTCCGTAATTTTAAATTTCAAAAGTCTTATGTTTCGATATTACTGGAAATGTATTGTGATCTTTAATATCGTATTTCATTGTCTGGGACTTGAAATACGGTGTTTATGTTGAAATTCCTAGATTTTGGTAGAAACAAGAAGTCCGGAGCTATAACATTTACGATCCATCATAAACTTAGCTCGGATACAGGGAACCGGACGCGCCTAAAAGGACAGGTCAGAGCTTGTTACAATTGCCTGTGAATGAGGGCCAGTATGATTGGGTTGCCTCGTTCAAGCTTCCCACGGAAGATGGGATGAAATGTATATGAAAACACCATCTTTCGAATTCCCGGCGTGGGGGTGCAAGCCATTCCACAAAAGGAGACTTTCACAATATTCCGAACTGGACGGACGTGACCTTGCACGCTCAGAGACATAGCTTGCCGATAGTAACACGGTAACGTAAAGCTAAGAATACATTAATTTAACAGTGTGGTGAATTAGCAGGTGAATAAACGTCAATTGGCTCAACTCTCAGAAAAACGCTTTCTTCGGCATCGCTACCCTGAGACCCATGCGAACCGACCCAGCTAGTTTCCCGTACCTATACCGATCTTCCTTAGTTTGATCTGTGAGAACAACTTCCAGTAGCCATCATACACCGTCCTAAGGAAGAAACAGGTGTAGCAGGGATAACACCATTCCGACTGCGCCGATACAAGTAAAGGCGAGAGGAAAAGAGCGGTGTTATTGATCTGTTACGTCAAAACCCACACTGATGATTCCCAATAATTTCATCTGTGAATGTTCTTAACATCGAGAGAAGACTGTTGGATAAAATTTTGTATGAAGTTGTTAGGAGTGATATCCTGCAATAATTACTATACTTAGTTTTGTCATGCTACTCCACCGATCATGCATTTTTTCCTTATCCCAAATAGAATTAATTAGCTTCTGGATCTTAGAATGTAATATTTCACTTCGTGCTTGGATCAGCTGTGACAGAATTTGATGACTGCTTGGCGATTCATACCTTTTCAACTTTGCAATAGAAATTTCAACCTCAAAAGGCTAGGATTAGGTACTAATGACTCATCTGTATGTATTTCTGTATACCTAACTTCAATATCCATGTGAACTCTGTGCATTGTTTGTTTACTCACTGCCAGTCTCTCTCTAACTTTTGCCATGCCGTCTCCTCTCTATCAGAATATGGTCATCAGTTTGGTTGTGCATCTTCCAATCAGGAGATGTCCAAATAAATTTATGAATGTTATGATGTGAGAACATTGTACTTTTGACCATAAGATTTTTTGATGTGGCAAAGTTTACTACTCTAACTCCATTATCATTACTAATTTCATGCAAACGCTCATTCCCAGCTGTTTGTTTGAAAATGTCTTCCCTCCCTACTTTGGCATTGAAATCTCCTAACAAAATTTTCGTATGTTATTTAGGGAATTTATCAGATACATATTCCAGTTCTTTGTAGAACCAGCCTTCATATTATCAGTATTGTCCCCTATTGGTGCATGAACATTCAGAATGATGATGTCACAGTAGTGACCTCTTAGTATTATGTATGACATCCTATCACTAAGAAACTTTACCCTCCTAACTGCTGATATGATTTTCTTATGTATGAAAAAACCTGTACCCAAGTCATTCATCTCATTCTCCTTTCCATGGAAAAATCTGTATTTGCCTGCTGGTTCAGTACCACCCCCATCCCATCTGACCTCCTGTACCGCAACTAAATCTAACATTGTTATATTTTAGTGTCCTGTTGCACTGATTTATGTCCATGATTTATTCTAGCCGTCTTACAGTGCATACACTCATCCACTTCACTCTTCACTCCCGCACTACATGTTTCGGCACAAAGGTGCCATCTTCAGGTGCTTTTTGATTTACGTTAAACTACTTCACTGCATGCCTTGCCGTCTTCATACTAAAATAACTGAAATATATATTCATCAGATATATTGATAAATATTAAATATTAAAAATATTAAAACTGTTCAGAATTTTTAATATTTTTAATGTTTTTAATATTTAATATTTATCAATATATATGATGAACATATATTTTAGTTATTTTAGTATGAAGACGGCAAGGCATGCAGTGAAGTAGTTTAACGTAAATCAAAAAGCACCTGAAGATGGCACCTTTGTACCGAAACATGTAGTGCGGGAGTGAAGAGTGAAGTGGATGAGTGTATGCACTGTAAGACGGCTAGAATAAATCATGGACATAAATCTAACATATTTTGTGATTTCTTCTGCCACTGCCCTGAGCAAACCTGCTCTGTACACACTTCTGACATTCCAAGTACCAAATATCATATCCATTTTCTTTTGCTTAGATTGTTTATCCAAGGAATCTGTCCAGCTCCGAGGCTTCTTGTGATCTTTCATAACAAGCTTATTTTTTTATGGTGAGTTGTTAGCCCCATACCCAACTCCCCAGCTGGCGAACCACCCCTTGTCTGCTGTCTGTGACTGCTTATTCAATATTTTCACAGCTACCGTCCATGTCAGGAGGCTGTCTCCACCATCCGCAACCTGGGGATGCACCATGCTGTGGTAACACAGGACCCACCTAACGTGGTTCAAAAGTTACTACCACTCTTAAAATACTGAGAGGGTCCTGAGAGTAGGTGTTACTTTTAATGATGCTGTCTTCTTGATTGCATAATGTTAAATTGGAGAAATTTCATGAATGATATGTAAGGATTGATCCAAGCCTCTTTTAAGGTAACATTTGTGTTGTGGCAGAATTGCTACAGGTTACAAGTGCAAATGAACCTACAGTGTGAAACTTTTTGCAGGTTGTGATGAGAACCGCAGTGTCCCCTTGGACTGAAGACCTAGTTCTGACAGATGCGTTTCGTGCTCCACTAGCAGAAGTGTTCAAACTGCTTGAGGTGATTCGCAACTATCAGCTGGAGAACAGGTAGGTGCATTGTCCCTGTGTTAGAATTATCTTGTAGTTCTCATTTGTGTACTCTACAGAGATGTAAACATCAACTGACTGCCTTGTGGCCTGCAGCAGATAATGCAACAGTTCTTTGCCTGTGCTAATTGCCATAGACCTTACTAGCTAGCTGTCCATAGGTTGCAGTACTTGTTGCCTGCTGATACAAATGTGTTAGTTAACTGTTTGTTTATTAATTTAATACAAATGATTAAATTGTTTGGAATTCTCACACATTTTCTTCAGAAAGAGGAGAACTTGTGCTGAACCAGCATCTGATGTGGGCCTCCAGAAGTCATGTAAACTTGTATGTCTAGACGGTAAATTCTGTAGGGCATGAGGTTTTGTGGTACTGGATGTTCAGTTCATACTGTGTTTTGCTGGGTGAGGTGGAGCTCTATGTTGTTTTGTTTTTGGGGAGCACACTGAAAATGGAGAATTTAATGAGTTCCTCCAAAATGTTGGTACCGTCTGCACAACTACACAATGTCATAACAAAGAAGGCACACACAGCAAGAAATTGAATTGTTGGTATGAATGTATGGGCTCTTGGCTGCTTTATTGAAAGTTACATATTTGAGTTAATCCATCAGCAGTTGTTTCCAGGTGAATATGATGAACATTCTAACACCAACCATCAACCTTAAAGCCAAACTAATGATTTTCTTGGAAACTGTTCTCACAGTTTTGATTTAAATGCAGTAGTTTATGAAGACTGTCTCCCTGCATAAGATGACATAGGTATTATCTTCAAGAAAATGATACGCCCCTCTAGTGGTCCGTGTGCAAAATATAAATTTTACTAAAAATGGCGTTATCAGTTTTGATTACATTTTAAACATCTATACCAAAGATTAGGCCAAAACATCCTACAATATTATATTTCAGCATCCTGTTACACTCACACAATATATATGGATAAATACCGTCTTAAGTGCAACAAATTTTATTGTAGTTTTTACTTCTTTTCCTCCTCCACACTACATGTTTCGGCCCTAAATGGCCATCATCAGGTGTGTATCACTCACGTAGCTGTTACACTGCTTGTTAAAATTTAAAATTACCAGTCTTTCTAATTGTATAAAATCTTTGTTAATCTACACGCGTCGATTTGATTTTTAAATTAGCACTTTTTAAAACTTAATTCAAGTTAAAATGTCTATAAGATCTCTGTTCTTTCTTTTTCAAATTTTTNGATCTTATAGACATTTTAACTTGAATTAAGTTTTAAAAAGTGCTGATTTAAAAATCAAATCGACGCGTGTAGATTAACAAAGATTTTATACAATTAGAAAGACTGGTAATTTTAAATTTTAACAAGCAGTGTAACAGCTACGTGAGTGATACACACCTGATGATGGCCATTTAGGGCCGAAACATGTAGTGTGGAGGAGAAAAAGAAGTAAAAACTACAATAAAATTTGTTGCACTTAAGACGGTATTTATCCATATATACAAAACATCCTAATTGTAAAGACAAGATTTGAGCAAAGATTTCCCTGCAAAGTGCTCTGTTACAAAATATTATTTTCCTCAAAATGTCTATAATGGCTTTGATATTCCTGGATATAACTGCATGGGCTGTATTGCCCATAAAATGATAATCTGCTTCTCTTGGGGTTGTTATAAAAAACTAAGAAAGTTCATATTTAAAATAGTAATTTGAGAACAGTACAGGGATGTGATCCATCAGGCATGTATCAGAAAGTACGTGCATTATCTTTGCAACAATTTTTCCTGTTGTGTTATACTGTCAGATTGAACACACCTGTGTTTCTGCTGTCAGCTCGATGTCTCTGAGCCACATGTGTCTACATATCGAATCAGCAAAGGTGAAATCTGACAAGAAAATGGCACTGCCTGAGTACAACTGCCTTGCCCTGTCACCTGCCAACCTCTGGCAGCAGGACCAGGAGAAGTTTCAGGAGGACTCCAACCTGCTGGGAACCATATTCACCTATGAGGTCAGATATTGTCAGTAACTCAAGTGGCAGATTGGTTGGTTGTGTGACCTGTCTTCTCATTATGGAATCCCATATTCAGTCTCAGGGCAGCCCTGTTGGACTGAGAGGCTCGGAGTACTTCCATTATATCCCATCAGTCATCATTCCTCAAGTGCTTTTGATGCTACAGAGTGCCAACAAGCCCGTGTGGTAGCCACTCCACTTATAACATGGTTCAGAGATAAAGATCTGTCTTAGCAATAGTGGTACTCTAGTTAGGGTAATCAAATGTTGTTGGTACTTATGTTAACCTTTATTGTACTGTTGTTTTTAGTAGTACATAGATGATTGTATCATGGTGAAATACAACAAAGATTTCTGAGGTTTGAGGTTCTAATAGTGGTAGATATTGTGACATTACCCCTGAAAACCAGAATGGTGAAGTCAGAGTAGATGTTCATTGCTAGGCAATGACTCAGTAAATACATTCCCATGGCAATGAATACATAAGCAACAATTGAAGAACTGCTGTTTCTGTGCAACAGTGTGGTAAACATACCTTTATAATAATAGAGGCATTGTCAGGTTTTTTCTGTTGGAGCTGATCTGAGTCTGTATAGCAAGGTTTATAGGCCAGCTAGAATTAGATTTGAGGGAGTCTTCTGAGATGGCAGTCGAAGATGACTGAGAAGAAACGGCAAGACAGGAATTTGGCTGTGCAAGGAAGACTTCTTGTGTGCTGCAGTTACAGTGAGACTGATATAGCTGACTACTGTGATGAGAACCATTGCCAGAATATGATTAATGAAGACCGAGAACCCTAGTGTGTGTGTGTAACGGTGAAGTGTAAAATGTGTAGGTCAGCAGTAGTGCTGTATTATTCGTAGTTCTGAGTGGTGTGTATTATAAGTAGTGAATAAATCTGATCATTCAGTCCAAACCTCATCTATAGTCACAACCCTACAATGTGACAGTATAGAGATTAGTTTTCTTGGATGTGATGTGATGCAATCTGCTATAAAGTTACCATTGTTTCACAGGAACCTGCTGCTACCGTCCTAGAGAAAGCCTCTGAAGATGGAGGCAGCAGGTTCCTGTTAAACATTTCTGACTTTCTGCCACACTGCATAATGTCACTACCCAGACAGAAGTACTGTTCAGCAAGTATTTCCTTTTATAGTATTAAGAAAAAAAGGAAGAAAAGATGTATGATGTCCTATATCAAAGTTCCTGGACTGTTGTTGTAATTGCCTAAGTGAAAGAAGATGAGTGGGGGACCAAGGGCACACTTCCACAAGCCTATTACATCTATCTGCCCTGTTACACTGCGCTGTGAACACGCATTGGCTTTACACGAGTGCTTTTTTGACTTAATGTTTCGTTTTGTCTGCTTTTGAAGAACATTCTTTAAGCTGGATAGCAGTTTTTGAATGGCATTCATGTTTCGGGGTCAGTCGAGTGTCAGTTGAAGGTGATGGATGTTCAGGGTTACCTTGCACCAGCAAAACACCAGAAAATGTTTATGAAAAAATTTGAGAACTCATCCACAAAGACTGTCACCGAGCAATCCGTGAGCTGGCAGACACCATTGGGGTCAGTTTGGAGTTTGCCAGGTGATCTTAACAGAAAATTTGAACATGCATCAGTTTGCAATGAAGTTGTTCCCTGACTCCTGACAAATGATCAAATACAGTGGCGCATAAACGAGTGTCTTGAGCTACGAGAGAAGGCTAATGAGGACCCAACTTTTACAACTATATCTCGGATCATAACAGTTGACAGAAGTTGGATTTGCAGATATGATTCAGAAACAAAGCAGCAGTTGTTGCAGTGGAGAAGCCCAGAATCACCAAGAGCAAAAAAGGCTCAGCAGGTCTGCACTGCAACTAAGGGCATGCCCATCGTTTTTTCTTGACGTGAAGAGGATTGATCACCGTGAATTTGTTCTGCCTAGCACATGTGTGACGAAAAGGACTGGAAGTTTGGCACAAGCACAGCTGGCTCCTTCATCCCAACAATGTGCTTGCCCATACGCCCCTGAAAACTACAGAGTTTGTGACTAACAACATGGTTAGCATTCCCCGTCCTCCCTACTCGCAGGACTTAGCTCCCTGTGATTTCACTTGTTTCTCAAATTGAAAATGACACTTTGAAACAGTGTCTGACATCCAGAGGTGCTGGACAGCATTAAGAAAAATGATTTCCACGGTGCTTTTGAAGCATGGAGAAAACATGATCACTGTATACATTCCCAGTCAGATTATTTTGAAGGAAATGGCAGTCAAAATTGAGTAAGTTAAGCCAGCATTTCTTTTGTGACCTAGTCTGGGAACTTTCTGATAGCACCTCATATCCTGCTTGCTGGCTCTTGTGAGGCTTATCCTTTGACCCTGAAGATGGAGGCAGTGGGTTCCTCCGAAAGTTGCCACAATACCTGCTTTGACAACCTCAAATCCCATTGTAGGAAAATACTGTTCCCTTGAAAGCAGCTGCCTCTCAAAAAAAAAAAAATTAAATTTCTTAATGCACCTAAGCTATTCCTAAGTGTATATAGTTTTGGATGGACTTGTATGTGCTCTGTATTTTTTTTTTTTTTGGTATGTTGTAGAACCTGCAGAAAGGGAAAATCAGCTTGGCCGAGATCTTGTTTGGCATGCACATGAAGGATACTGGGATTAAGCGCTACCCTTTGCGAACCCGACAACGAGTGCTTCAGTATGCCATCACACTTGTACTCCAGAAGCATGATCCCAGGTGAGCATAGCAGTGTCTGGTGTTCTCATGCAATCTAAGTGCTGCACTCATCATGTCCTCTATTCCTCACACTAAGAACACTTTTAAGTGAAGAGTAGCAGTTGTTATGCTGCTCAGTGTGTAATTTTCTCCGTTTCATCGATTGCTCTGTTCTTGCTTCAGAATAATGATGCATGACGTTTCAGACCACACATATCGACATGTATTTTATTCTGATGAAAACTGAAGTCCTTGTTCACCATCATCTAACAGGTTTGTGGATGGACTGAGGCAGAGGTTGGCTGCCCTGTATCCGCTGCACCAGCCCCACAACTCGCAGTGGCCGAGCAGTGGTGACGTCGCTTCCAATACAACAACCCTGCCCCCACAGGAAGTACTACACATCTACTTTCCCGGCCAGTTCAACCTACGAGAGTTCGTGCCACTGACTGTCACTTACTTCATTCTGTTCCTCTACATGTACTTCTCTGTGCGTAAGATCGAGCTCGTCAGGTCTAAAGTAGGTATGGCGTTCAGTGCAGTGGTAACAGTGCTGGCATCCCTTTCCATGTCCGTCGGCCTCTGTTTCTTCTTTGGCTTGACTCTCACTTTGACAGGAAAGGAGATCTTTCCATACTTGGTTGTGATTGTTGGACTGGAGAATATTCTAGTCCTAACCAAGTCTGTGGTGTCAACAGCTACGCACCTGGACGTGAAGATCCGAGTAGCCCAAGGCTTGAGTCGTGAAGGATGGAGCATAACCAAGAACCTCCTGATTGAAGTCACCATTCTCACAGTGGGATTGTTTACATTTGTACCAGCCATTCAGGAATTCTGCATCTTTGCTGTCGTTGGACTCTTGTCAGATTACTTCCTTCAGATGTTATTCTTCTCCACTGTCCTTGCCATTGATATCAGACGAATGGAACTGTCATCAGAATCACAGCATCACCGAATTCCATATGGGCCATTGCAGGTTGCTGCATCTAGCCGGACTCCATTACGCCAGTTCCATTCTTCTGTTGCAGCTAGTGTTGCAGGACTTGACAAAACACGGGCGTGTGGCATCATGAGGTCAGTGTCTCACCCTGGACTGAATGGATTGAGCTTGTCAAGCTATCCTACAGATGTTGTTGCACCACTAAATTCACCTCCTGCTGTTGCAAAAGTTCCAAAGCGTCTGCGATTGGTTCACTTTTGGGCCAGTACAAGGATATTTCAACGAGCATTCATGGTGTGCATGATTGTATGGATAACAGTGATCATGTACAGTTCAGGTGTGTTAGAACATGTGTTGCAGTTGACGACAGACGAGGGCATTTCAGAGAGGGATGAACTGATTGGCTCTGTGCAAGGTGAACACCAAGAAACTGTGAGGCAGTACCATGATATACATACCAGAGCTCACCCACCACTGGACAGTGAGGATCTGAAGACGCTGCACTCAGTGACAACTGAGGAAAGCAGGGCAGTCAGTCCTACTTTGGATGTGGAACTAAGAAAGCCCAGAGGAGGTGCTGACGGTCCTGAGGTAAGCTTCATATGTATACTGAAGTAGCTCTCTGTCTTTGGAGGGTGCGGTTTCTGAGTCTCTTCCCCATTCCCATCAAAGTGGCTTATTCATTGGAGCACAGTTCTTCCTGAGAGGCCCATAGTTGCTCGTTTTTGTAAAAGAAAATCTAAGGCTTCAGTGTAATAATTATCGTGTGATATTACTGCTGTCAATTTCATACAAAATTTTATCCAATGCTCTGCTCTCACGGTTAAGTCCATACATAGATGAAATTATTAGGGATCATCAGTGTGGGTTTCTACGTAGCGGATCAACTACAAATCAGATCTTTTGCATTCTTCAGATATTGGAGAAAAAATGGGAGTGCAATGAGGCAGTACATCAGCTATTCATAGACTTCAAGAAAGCCTATGATTGAGTTAGGAGGGAAGTACTGTACAATATTTTGATAGAGTTTGGGGTACCCATGAAACTAGTTAGGCTGGTAAAAATGTGTTTAAACAAAACGTGTGGTATAGTCCATGTAGGTGAACATTTGTCTGATAATTTTCCTGTCCATAATGGTCTAAAATGGGTAAGTAAGTAAGTAAGTAAGTAAAGCTATCCCTGTAACAGGCCTTGAAGGCCCATAGGGTTGTGAGATGTTGAGGTTCCCACATTATCTAGACAATCGGCGTAAAGATGGCGGTAAGGTTGTCAGCCTTATGCGCTGGCCACGCTTTACTCCCCAGGAAAATTATTTAATTAATTCCTGGTACTCATTTCTGTTAGAGGCTGAGTTGACTCCAGGGACATAGTGCCGCTGGAAGGATTAGGTCAATTGATAAAATCCAATGACCTCATCGGGACTTGAACTCGCAACCTTCCGGCTTGTAGTATAGTGCCTCAACCAACTATGCTTTAGAATATGCCATTAGGAAGGTCGAAGAAAACAGATGGGACTGAAATTAAATGGGACATATCAGCTGTTGGTCTATTCCGATGATGTCAATCTACTGGGTGATAATGTAGTTACCATAAAGAGAAACACACAAACTTTAATTGACGCCAGTAAGGAGGTTGGTCTAGAAGTAAACACAGAGAAAACTAAGTATATGTTGCTGTCTCATCACCAGAGTGCAGTACAAAATCGTGACATAAAGATAGGAAACAGATGTTTTGAAAATGTTGCACAGTTCGGATATTTGGGAAAGACTATAACAAATGAAAACCTGATTCAGGAGGAAATTAAGAAGAGATTGATTTTGGGCAGTGCTTGCTACCACTCAGTCCAGAACCTTTTGTCTTCTCATCTGCTGTCTAAAAACATAAATATTAGAATATGGAATATTATAATTTTATCTGTGGTTCTGCATGGGTGTGGAACTTGGTCTCTAACACTTGAAGGAGGAACATAGACTGAGGGTGTTTAAGGGCGGTGTTGAGGAGATTATTTGCATTGAAGAGAGGTGAAGTGACAGGAGTTTTGAGAAAAAGTGCATAGTGAGGAGCTTCACAACTTGTACTCTTCTCCAAGTATAATTAGAATGATCTAGCCAAGGAGGATGAGATTGGTAGGGCATGTGGCACGAATGGGGGAGATGAGGAATGCATATGGGATATTGGTGGGAAAGCCGGAAGGAAGGAGACCACTGGGAAGACCAAGACATAGGTGGGTGGATATTAAAATGGATCATAGAGGGATGAGATGGTATGGATTTGAATGATCAGGCTCAGGACAAGGACCAGTGGAGGGTTCGTATGAACACAGAAATGAACCTTCAGGTTCCATAAAATGCTGGGAAGTTATTGAATTTCTGCACAATTGGCAGCTTCTCACGAAGGGCTCAGCTCCATGAGTGAGTGAGTGAAAGCTTGATGGAACCCAAAGGTTTGTTACCATGTTCACATAAGTCCACCATGAGGCTGTGTCCTTCTGTCAGATGTTCTCATCATTCCCAATCTGTATTATTCCCTTTCAGTGAAAGACCAAGTTCTACACTCATATTAAATGACAGAATAAATTATAGTTTCACTTGAGCTATTTACATTCTGAATAGCAATATAATGCTGAAGACATCCAGATGTTGTTTGTGTGGCATTTTGTCATCTTACCTGCCCCTTGTGCAGTCAGCCATCCACTTGAGGCACTAGATGGCATTGGTTCTGAGCATAGTGTGGACTTGTTCTGAATGTGTTTCAGGTCACGGAGGGGAGCGATGCCATAGCAAAATTGAAACACATGGGCTATGACCCATGGAAGAGGCTGTCTCACTACCACTGGCCTGCCATCCTGTCTCTGTACAACATCTCGCTGTCGGGCCATTACATAAGCATTCTCCCCCCCATTCGCCTGTCCCACGCCGTGTCTTCAGCACGGGCCCATGCTTTGCGCAACCCCGATGAGAAGGCTGCACAACACTTCCAGTGGCAGACCCTTGCTGCTGCACTTGACCCTCTGGACTTTTCTGGTATGGACAGCAGCCCGCTTACGTTACATTACATTACTGTATTTTCATGTCAGCAGTTGCATTCTGCCTGACAAGTTTATGCAAGTGACAATTTTTTCAAAATGCCAAAGCCTGCACAGATCATGTCATTACACTTGGCTTTCCCAAAGTCTGTTGACTTTATAAGGGGAGAGATGCTTACAGAATCATGTTCACATGTTGCTCGTCCTGCTAGTAACTTTAAACACGGTTCATAGATTGGTATAAATGTCTTGATGCAGGAATCCCATTTAATTTTGTGTAGTCAGTAATACCAAAGTAGTGGATGACCACCCAAATTTCTTGTGTGATATATATTGGTTCAATAGCATTCTGCCTTGTGCAGATAGAAGAATTTTTATAAAGGACAAACATCTCTCAGTTCTGTGACACTCATTGAAGAGGCTGTCATTCTAAATGGCTCTTGGCAGAACAGGTTGTGAATTGCACTGTAGATTGAATTGGCATAGGATAGATTCTATTTGCAAACTTTTGTGATGGCAGTGATTGCTTTCTTTGCTGCTACTATGCTGACTAGCTCAGTGTCATTCCATACTCATGGACAAAGACAGGTGTGGCAATTGCTGGTATGTCAGCTCAAGACCCCTCAGATCTCTTGCAGAATTGCCTTCCTGCCCTCTGCTTTAACAAACATAATTTTTTTTTGGTTTTGAATTGTGTCAGACCTCTCTGCCAGACTGTGGGACTCACCTGAGTAGAGAGGAGGCAAAATTTCAGTAACAATTAGTCACAAAATCATCTTTAAATCAAATGTCACAGTTGAGTGGTTAACACTGCATTTTATTTGATAGTTCCTAGGTTGAAATCTCAGCTAGGGAGGTGCTGTCATGACAGGTGATTTGTTGTTTTCCTCAGAGTCTTCAGACCAGCACTTGACCACTTGAGCTATTGGCAGCATCATTAAATAAATAAAAAACAAATGAGTTTAGGTCTGTGGAGAGTTGACAAGAAGGTGGACCTCTCTGAAATGTAGTCATGAGTGTATACTTTGATTTGTTGCTCTTGTTCCCTGCATTTTGGAAGAATTTATTGACATTGTTAATCGCTGTTGACAGACGGTGGTGAGAGTGGGAAGGGCCCTGTAGTGGGCATTAAATCTATGGGTGGTAGTGTCACCAACAGTGAGGTTCCATTTGTGCCCTCATCACCAATGGAACTGTTCCTGACAGCAGTGCTGTGTGTGGTCAGCATTGTTGTAGTGGCGTACACCATGGTGATGTTGTATCGGTGTGTCTGCTCCCGTAATTATGCAGAGTGGCGTGCCAGTTGGGCAGGTGATGGCGAGGGTGTTACTGCAGATGGCACCACACAGGTGAGATACGTATAGTACTGTTCATGTGTTGCTGGGACACTGGTGGACAAGGTTCGATACAACAGTTATACTCAAGACTTGCATTCAGTAGGCATTTCTTTTGAATCTTTTCTCAGACACTCAATCTCTACTACAGGCAAATGCCAGGATATTACCTCAATCAGGACATGACTCTTTTCTCCCTAATCCTCTCTGCTTCTTTGAGGGCCATGCGGTAGTGTAGTTGGTTGTTGCACTATGCTACAAGCCGGAAGGTCACGGGTTCAAGTCCCGATGATGTCGTTGGATTTTTCAATTGACCTAATCCTTCCAGCCGCACTGTGGCCCTGGGGTCGACTCAGCCTCTAACAGAAATGAGTACCAGGAATATTCTTGAAATATTCTTGGGGTTAAAGGGCGGCCGGCGTGTAAGGCGGACTACCTTACCGCCATCTATGAGCCGATTGTCTAGATAATGTGGGAACCTCAACAACCCTATTAGCCTTGACAGCCTATTACAGGAGTACCTCTACTGACTTCACTTCTTTATTTGCCAGTCATCACACCATTCACCACTATACAATGTCAGATACTAATAATGTCATAAATTAAACAACAGAAAAGTGACAGCCATGTAGTGGTAAGTGCATAGAAGCATTTTAGAGGAGCATATTGCCTCCATCTTGAGCCCCCTGTGAAGGCAGAGGTAGTTTGTTCCTCTGAAATGTTAGTATGCATTTACCAAACTGCATGGTATCATAACTAGATGATAGAGCTTGTCTGCTGTTGTACAGAGTGATTCAGTTAAAACTATAGTCTTCTAACTTAAGCATCATGGTGGACGTGGTGCATGTGTCTCGACGCATGGTCGGTAGGATTGAGGCATGTATTCAGAAGAATTGGGGACATTTCCAGTATGTTTTATGAATGCTCATTTATGTTTTGAGTTCGGTGAAATATGCAGTGTTTCTTATCTGGTACAGTTAAATGGATCACTTAATAGGCACTAAGGGCCCATTAATGAAGGCCTGCCATTGAACTTTCTCTGAAGCCATTGAAGTCGAGTTTACAACTTCAGAACCTGCTTTGTAATATTTATTTTAACATAATCATCCAAACTGTTCTCTTTGTGTTTTCATCATTCCAGAAACTTATAAGCATTTCTCGTTTTCTGTTTCTCAATTATTCACCTTCATTGTGTGGTGTCAGGTTGTGATGGAGGCTGTGCCCCTTGTCCTTGATGGCCATCCCCAAGAAGTGGAGTGCCTGGCAACAGATGGCTGCGTGGTAGTGAGCTCCTGTCTTGGAGGACAGCTGCGTGTTTGGGACTCAGTCTCGGGAGAAGCACTTGCTGTTGTGAACAGGAGACAGTGAGTGACATGTTTTTAATGAAAATGACCTTGACATTTCTGTAATATACGGTATATGTTGTACGTATGGGTAATACTTTGAGTTATGTCTTGTTTGACTGATCTGGCCTCACTGTGGCCTTGGAAGTAGTGCAGAAGGGTGGGTGCAACACTGCCTATTATTGGATGGGGCAGAGGGCATCTGCTGCTGGCTCTTAGTTGTAGTCAGGACCAGGTGTCTTGATCCTCAGATATACAAAATTATTTTGCGTTTAGATAATGGTCTTCTCAGGTGTGATGCCATGTAGTCTAGTGCAGTAAATTCTCAGTTATCTGGTGCCCAGCCATCAGGAATTCTCATGCATCCAGTGAGAAATTCAAAGAAAATTTGCTGCTTTTATAGATTTACTTCAAAGACAAAGTTGCAGTGCATGTATGCTCACCTGCTATTTAGTAGTTCTCCCAGCTGCCACTAGCAATGCCACTAGAGTTGTACTGATGTGTGATTACAGTAGACGTTAGTTGAGTCTGTGATTATGTTTCATTATATCTAAAACCCTTGATCCATCAGTTTGCTGTGTCACCTGAAAAAGACACCTGTACAAAAATTAAGTTGAAAATATATTGCTTTGACTTGTAAACTGAAGTGGGAATATTAAATGACAAGAAAAAGGTGACAGTTTGGTTTTGGAAGTCTTCCACATGCAGCTAACAGCATCATGTCATGGCATATCGAGTTTACTGTAGATAGTTGCCAGTGCATGTGAAGAACCAGCTGTGTTCATCTTGAGGGTAGAAGAAGGCTCATGTCGCTCTTTTCCTACCCTGAAGATGGAGGAAGCAGGTTTCTCTGAAGTACTGGTAACCGTATACCAGAATGCATATTGTCACAGCCCAGAACAATCCAGGATTAATTTGACAGAGTAGAATTGCTATACCTGATGCCACAGAGAGATTTGTGATTCATTGACTAATGTATCATGCCATATAATGCATGAAGTCAGTTTTCTGTCCTTGGTGACATTCTGGAGCCAGTTTGCTCTCTATACTGACAACATACTGCAGTCAGGGTGGCAGTAGCTCATTGTTGTTACTCTCAGCTCCAGTATCTGTACCAAGAACATTTTTTGGCTTATAATTTGGACAATGAGAACTCTTTCATGACCCAAGAGTGCAATGTACAAAGAAAAAGCCCTAATGAAAGAGTACGGAGATAGGTTTACTTTATCAATAATTTCGGGAGCACGCGGTAGTGTAGTTGGTTGAGGGGCTATGCTACAAGCCGGAAGGCCGCAGCTTCAAGTCCCGATGAGGCCATTGGATTTTCTTTTCAGTAGACCTAATGCTTCCAGCCGCACTATGGCCCTGGGCTCAGCTCAGCCTCTAACAGAAATGACTACCAGGAATGAATTAAATAATTTTCCTGGGGAGTAAAGGGCGGCCGGCGCGTAGGGCTGACAACCTTACCGCCGTCTGTGAGCCGATTGTCTAGATAATGTGGGACCCTCAACATCTCACAACCCTATGTGCCTTCACTCCCTGTTACAGGGATAGCTTTACTTTACTTTTTATCAATAATTTCATGTGGCTGGTCGTGTAGAAACTGTGCCCACCAGGAGTGGAAAGATGCGACTAAAAAGCCTTGTGATTTTGACTCGTGAATGAATCCTGTTTTCAGTTACTTCTTAGCGAAGCAGGGAGATTCAGATGTTTCTGATCCTGGAGAAGTGCTCCTGTCTGGATGTGAGTCAGGTTCTCCTCCTTCCTGTTGGGAGAAGATGGGTATGGTGGATAATTGCAACTCATCCCCTCCTTTGCTTCATCACACATGTTCTCGGCGTAGGACTCTTGCAGACCTCCGTCCGACCATCAACATGAACTTCACTGGAAACAGACCCACTGACTATGATGCATCAAACCCGTACAGACATGTTCATAGGAGTGGGTGTGATTTCACCGTGAGCTGTGAGGATTTGCATGATGTGCTCACACACCCCATGGACTCTGACTCAGATGAGGATGGAATCTGGAATGTTACAACACTGAAACAGTCTAAGCCAAATAAACCCACACCTCACCTGCAATATACTGTGCCCTTGCCAACAAAACAGTTTTCAGAAGATCTGGTTTCTAAGAGTTGCCTTTGCCAATGTCAGGGCCTTGTTGACAAATGTGGAATAACTCAGCAACGGAGGTTTAGCGGCCATGTGGAGCATTGTGATGGGGGTACTCTGGGCTCAAAGTGCAGTGACAGTGTTGTGTTGTGTTATAGTTCTCATCATGAGGACACTTGTCCCAGGAGGTGGAAAGAGACTGAATTCTGTGACATTGCTTGTGGTGGGAATAGCATTAGTTTGACCACTGGCCACTCTTTGCCAGTAAATACAGACAGCCCATCTCGGGCCATTGACGTGGACAGAAGACAGTGTCATGCATTTTGCCATAAATCCCCACCCAAAGAAGCAGTAGAGATCTGTGGGGAGAGGGGCCCAACTGTTGACATTGTGCAACAGAGACCTCCGATTTGGTGTCTTGACTGTCACGAGAATCTCATAGCAGTAGGCTGTGCTAATGGCAGGCTGGAATTCTGGGAGGGAACCACTGCAACATTTAAGGTAATGGATCAAAGTTTACTGTACTTAATACTTTTTCATGGATTGGGCTGAAGTTCAGTATTCTTGCTGCAGTGTTTGTTTAAACCAGTATGTCTTCTTTGGAGCCCTATAATTATGGGATAGTAGCCTGCTGGCTTCTGTAGACACTGATTTCATTGTTTACCTTCATATTCTTGCAATATCTGCTGGTTTGTATCTGCTGATTGTGATTTCAGGATGCCACTAAAAGGCTGAAATGCAGTGGGAGAAGGGAGTTAATTCTGGTAGTTTTTAGCTTATAATAATATTGATTTGTCATTGTGTTCAGCTCTGTACAGTTCAGCAGAATTGCCTGAACAGCAGCAAATTCCTAGATTTATACCACCATATTTGTACCATTGCAGTATGTCTTCTCCGAAATTAAGATACATGAATTAAATTTTAATTTGAAAAATGTTCCCAAATTTCAAGACCTTTGAAGCCCAGAGGATGAGTTTCATGCATTGTTGCAGTGCCTATTTCAAGATGGGAGTGGGGTTGGAGTAACAGCCGTGAAGATAATTGGTAACCGGGTGGTGGCTGCAAAGCTCAGTGGTTCAGTTGATTTTCTAGAGCTGAAGAGCTACAGTCATGGCCGTCAGATGGACTGGGGATTCACCGCATACCGGAGAAGTGAGTTACATAAAGAGTGTGCTTGGAACAGGGGTGCAGGCAATTTGCTTATTGCAAGTCTTATTTCCAAATTTTCTTAAACTGTGTATTAGTCATTAGCCTGCTATGACCTCATTTATGACTCTATCCATCTCTTCTTCCCTCATCCTACATCTCTATTGGCAAATCGTGACTGCTTTAAGAATGTGAGTTCCATCCTTTCTTTATAAATGTTCCTTTCGTTTCTCTCTCTTTTCATTTATTTTTTGAGTTGTTTAGGTCGGATAGCAAAATAATATCTGACTGGATTGTTGCTCCTGCAATGTAATAAACTTTGCTTTTATGTATGAAGTAAATATACATCACTGCCAGTGAGTTATTCAGCATAGCAAAGACTTCATTGGGGAAATTTGTACGCAGTGGAGTATACATGACTTTTGATAGCATAAGGTTCAAAAACTGAAGTAGTCAGTACCAATCTGTTTGGTCGAGTTTCAGCTCATGTGAGGAGTGGAAGCACAGGATCAATTGTAGACTGGGACAGCATAATGTCCTGCAAGAGTAATGATGAAGATCTGCGCTGCATTCGACTGAATACAACCAGGGCCCACCAGCAGCCAATCACAGTGCTGGATTCAGAAGGAGGCCGAGTCCTCACTGGCAGCAAAGATCACACACTTAAGGTTGGTCATACATTTCATTGTTAATAGAACTTCATAAGAGATTTGAAGTTCTCGTAATGATGAATGTTAGTATTATTCTCTTCTAAACCGGTGGCAACATTTTGGAGAAACATGTTGCATTTATCTTCAGGGTTGAAGAAGGCGACACTGAAGATCAGTGCAGTAGGTGCCTCCAAAGTACTGACACCCGTCTACCACACTGTACAGTGTCACATCCCTGAAGACATTTTTTATTTCATTTCTCATGCATGTATCTTTTGGAATATTGTGAAGTGAGACTGCTGACTGTTACCAGTAGACCCGCTTTCAAGATGCTGCCGTTCATACAAAAATTCGGTTTACTTATATGAGCATCAAGGATATGAAAAAGAAAGAGGACTTCTGGTTGCTGAGTCACCATATGTCAGGGTCTTGCTGCATTGCATGCTTCATGTGAAATACTTGTAGGAGTGGGGTGAGACTGAGTCCCTTGGTACAGCAGCCTCAGGTGGGCACCTTGTACCAGTCCCTGATGACAGACAGTTGACTGTGGAGTGTTTGATACCAGTGTACTACTGACAGCATAATAAACCTGAGAGAACAGACTGGGAAGAACGTGTGCAGAGGGGGACAGATACTTCTGACAAGTTGTGTTTACCTATTGCCAAAGGCATGGAAGGCAATAAGTGTGAACAATCAGTATTCTGTATATGATATTTCATGATCCAGAAGATGTTCTTCCTAACATAAGGTGCTATCAGAAAGTTCCTGGGTTGTTATTGTTGTAACTGCCTTGGTGAAAGAAGAGGAGAGGCCAAGGTCACACTTTGGCAAGCCTATTGCATCAGTCTGCCATGTTACACCATGCTGTGATAATGCATTGCTTTTACATTAGTGCTTTTTGGGCTTCCTGTTTTGTTTTGTGTGCTATGGATGGCAAAATAGAGCAACGTGTCTCCATCAAGTTTTGCATGAAGCTCAGTAAATCTGCTACTGAAACCCATGAAATGCTTCATGAGGCTTTTGGAGAGCATTCTTTAAGCTAGACAGTGGTTTTTGAATGGCATTCACGTTTCAGGGTTGGTTGAGTGTCGGTTGAAGATGATGAACGTTCAGGGTGATCATGCACCAACAAAACAATAGAAAATGTTGAAAAAGTTTGAGAACTCATCCATGAAGACTGTCGCCGAGCAATCCATGAGCTGGCAGACACCATCAGGATCAGTTATGGAGTTTTCCAGGAGATCTTAACTTGAACACTCACCACATTGCAATGAAGTTTGTTCCCTGACTCTTGACAAATGATTAAAAGCAGCAGTGCATAAACGTGTGTCTTGAGCTACAAGAGAAGGCTAGCAAGGCCCCAATTTGTATCTCTAGGATCATAATGGTTGACAGAAGTTAGATTTACAGTTATGATCCAGAAGAAAAGCAACAGTCATCACAGTGGAAGAGCCCACAATCACCAAGAGCAAAAAGAGCTCGGCAGGTCGAGTGCAACAAACGTTATGCCCATTGTTTTTTCTTGATGTGAAGGGGATTGTTCACTGTGAATTTGTTCCTCCAAACACTACGGTCAACTCTGACTCATAATACTGTGATGTTTTGAGATGCTTGAGAGAAAATGGGCAGCGAAAAAGACTGGAACTTTGGCTCAACCACAACTGGCTTCTTCAGCATGACAATGCGCCCACCCACACGTCCCTGAAAGCCACAGAGTTTGTGACTAACAGTAGCATGGTTATTGTTCCCTATTCTCCCTACTCGCCAGACTTAGCCCCACTGTGGTTTCTCTTTGTTCCCAAATTGAAAATGAAACTGAGGAGACAACATTCTGAAACAGTGTCTGACATCCGAAGGGAACTGCAAGCAGTACTCAATAGCATTAAGGAAAATGAAATCCACTGTGCTTTTGAAGTGTGGAAAAAATGATGGGTTTGCTGTATATATTCCCTAGGAGACTATTTTGAAGGAGATGGCAGCCAAAATTGAGTAAGTTAAGCCAGCATCAGTTGGTATAGTTCGCTTGCGGACTAAAAGCCAGGGAGTTTAGTATTTTTAGTTTAGCATGTCTTTTTTTACCTAGTCTGGGAACTTCTCGATAGCGCCTTGTATGTGAGTCTCAACACCAAAGCAAATGACAGTATTGTAATGGTCTGCCTTGACAGATGAAACTATGAAGTGGCTGTGTCAAAAATATTAATTTCAGAGTGGGTAGCATCTGTTGCATATGAAGTTCTACTTTGAACAAGTCTCGTGGGAATGCCTGTGTATACTGTCTACTGTCATCATCAGTGTCAAATGCTAAACATATCATAAGTATTTCATGGTCATAATCGCATACATTAATAGATTTCAACTTTACTGTGCTTTCCTGCGAGGCCTGTGGAACAAAGCGTTGTGCTGAGGTGCATCTGGACCCTTCCTTTTCTAGCTGAGTGAGCCCAACCTCAAATGACAGAACCCTTGGCTTTGCTTCGCTCATGTCACTGTGCTTGTGTATCTGAACCAATTAGAAATATTATGACAAATACAGAAATGTGTCATGTGGGCGGGAAGACGCAGAAGAATGGATTTTGTTGACATGTTGATTCCTGTTAGTTTTACCAGTGATCACTGTTCTGATGCAGAAACAAGCAGTTGTGTGAAAAAAATCCTTAGGGTTGGAGACTAAGAAGCTTACATATAAATTGAGATCAACAGTTTTTTTCTCTGTATTTAGTCTTGAAAATTGTGAGAGTCTCACATGTATTTTAAATTGTTAAATTGCTTGTTTCTAGTACTCATTATTTTGTTTGCATCTGTCTTTATGTTAGTAATTTCGTGCTGTGTCTCTGAAATTAGGATCTGTAGGGTACAAACGTCTGAAACAAGAACCAGTCCTTACATAATGACTGCTGGAATCCTCATGATACTGCAGCATGATGGTTGCCTTCAAGGTTCTTGTTCTCAGCCCTGTGGATACACTGCTCTGCTCAGAGGGTGATTCTGTTGTGTGTTATGTGCCCTAGGTGTTCCGCTTGGAAGACCAGCTGCCACTGTACACCCTGCATGGTCACTGTGGCCCCATCACATGCCTCTTCATAGACCGCATTTCACCCATGATGTCGGGCAGCGGTAGTCAGGATGGGCTCCTCTGTGTGTGGGACCTTCTGACAGGTGCAGTCCTTAGATATAAGTGAAAATTGGGAATAACTACTTATCAGCTTGAGTGGCCATGTTTAATTTAAAAGAATTATATACAAACTTGAAAGTTAAAACTGCTTATATAAATTAAATTCTAAAGGGTTCTTAGTGTTTATATAAACATATAAAAATGACAATACACTGCATTCAGTACCTCCGATCTGTGGTTTCAACCTCTTTGTATCACACCAGTAACAGAAGATATCTGGTTTCTGAAATGTCGCTTATGTCAAATATATACTCCAAACAGTGTCTGTCTAACATTCATACAGTGACCCAGCCATGGTCACAAGCCTTTAGAAGATATTCAAGTCAGTCAGCATTGCTTTCTGATTGTGTATTTCAGCAGCTATGTGCAGATGTTTACATTCTTGAATTTGTCTCATCACTGCAGTCGTCTCTGAATATCCTATAACTTATAGTAACACTTCACTGTTTCATAAAGCCGGCTAGATCCTCTCCAATGCCAGCCAGCACTCGCATAGGAAAACTGACCTCACACTTCTTGCATTTGAGAAACCACAGTAGTTAGTATTTTGGTATTTAGTACATAAAACTAATGTAAACATCTGCTTTATCCAAAATTTCAAGTTTTCCCACTAATTGTTCTCTGGCGGCATTGACACAGTTTTGTAAATTGTGTACTAAAGTTCATGTTTCATCTGGTATCTCTAGTTGATTCTTCTGAAATGATGGGAAGCCTTCAAATATTCTGTACATAAAACACTTTCACAGACATTGCACTTGCCAGGTCTTTGACGGAAGTAACATGGAAGCTGGTGCATAGATCTCATGGCAAAAGCAGAGCAGCTTGTTTCGGTCTGTTGGATAACATTCATCACATCATTTCTGTAACTCCATGGTCACTGCCTGTTGGATAGCCCCATGCTCCACTTTGTTTCATCCCAACACAGGTTCACCTTGTGCTGTGTGCACTGCAAGGGCACTCTAACGAGCTTCCAAATGCCCCCAAAGATATTAACCTTGAAGATGACAGCTGCATTGTTTACTGAAGTATGGGAAAATGTTGATTCTGTGTGACATATTAATGAAAGCTGAAATCAGATTTAGTATCTTATTCATATTGTGACTGAAGACTGGTGTGATGTTTTCACATTCTTCTGTATTGATATTGAACTTACACACGAAACTGCAGAAACCCTAATCGAATGCTGGAATTCCACACTTGAGTAAAAGACTGATGCTTTGTTTTAGGGGCCTGTATGTACAGTCTGCAGGCTCACGATGGCAGCGTGACAGCCCTCACTTATTCTGCCAGCTACGTGATCAGTCTTGGCACAGATGAACGTCTCTGTGTGTGGGAACGGTTCCAGGGACATCTGCTGAACACAATACAAGTGGTTGGTACAGTTGCATTAAGGATCATATTTGTATTAGCATTCAGTTATGCAGTTATTCTATTTCCAGTTTAATGGCACATGTTGCAGTTTGATTCAGAAGTTTACAGCTGTCTGCTGTTCAGACGATGAGAAGTTCAGGCCATTTCCTTTTAATTTAACGTGTGATGAGTCAAGTGGCACTCTCACTCTCTACACATGGAGATCTCTGCTACAGAAAAATAGAAGTAAAGATCACCCTTGCTAATTATTATTGACTGTAGTAATTTTTGATCCGTACTGGACAGTTTGGTCATCGCATGATAGGAAACATCTTGATATTCACGAGAGTTCAGTGTTGGAGCTTACACATTGGCGCTGTCCTTTCTCTGTTTCAGTCACATACCTACTGCAGCAGTATGGTTATGTTCACTCACAACTTGCTCATAACCAGCAAACAGGTACGTATTTTATGACACAGTAGTAGCTACAAAGGTTGTGCAGTATCCAGTGTGATGTATTCACTGGATGTAAACCACTCTTTCTGTTTCTCTGTTTGAGAATATTCGTGAAGAACATTACGCAGGATGAGCAATGCATGGGCACTGTGCGATTTCAGGTTCACGTGGCAGTGAATGTTAAGTTCAGGATGTGATAATGTGTACTTTGGTACATAGACACCAGTATTTTTAAGGAGCCTGTACAGATGGAAACAGCAGGCTCTGCTGAAATGTGGCACCTGTCTGCAAAATTATGAAGTGTTCCGTGGCAGTGAACCATATTCTTGGCTTATGGACATTTAGTTTACCACTGCTGCAGTTTTCCACGTGAACTGTTGAATGATATGAGGAAATTTGGTCTGATGTTATGGACTGCGCTGTGTGTCAGAGGTGTGCACTGAGTGCACATTAGCCTAAACATGGTCTCATCAAGGGAGGCAAAGTTTGCCAAATGCCAAATTACGATACAAAGTATAACAGTTGCTCCTTCAAAATGTTTCATTTTACCTGCTCTCAAATGGAACATTTTGTATTTTTTGTATATCTTTTACATTGGCTATTAAATGATACTTATTGATACAGTGTTTCTAATAACTTAAACAAAAGACAATGATATCTTTTATTGATTACATGAAAATTGTGAAAAAGGATTATCTGCTTTTTGTCTGACACAAATAAATTGTTATTTTGTCACAGGGTTCCCTGGTTGTGTGGGATGTGAGGACGGGAGATCCTGTGCGAGTTGTGAAGCTGGGACATTGTGATGGGAGTGTGTTTGTGAAGCAGATCCTACTGTTGCGTGATAGTGTTGCCTGCGACTACGGCAACCAGCTGCGTATCGTGCACTTCCCTCTTGTTGTGACTGACAAATGTGAATGAACCTTATAGAGTTGGTAAGATGCAACAGTGGAGCATGGCACAATGCTTCATTGCGCCATCTGGAACACAGTGAGCCATTATCATCTGGTCTGTGTTAGTGATCTACAAACAAAATCTAGGACTGCAGAGGAAAGGCATGACAGCCATTGGAATGATTAGGTCTTCTCCCTTTACATTATTTCCCCTGAGAAAGCTAGCAGTAAACATGCCAGGAAGTATTTGTGATAATAGGACTGACAAAAGGAGATAAAGGTGTAGAGGTAATTAAGATGGAGGGGAAATAATTTTCTGAAAGTCATACTCAGAGAGAAACATGCAAAGTCTCTGCTGAGAGAAATAAAGTAACCAACTGCTAGAGAGAGAGAATATTCAGACTGGGCCAAGTAAATAGTCCCACCTGCAAAAGGTGCCATGACAAAGATAAAACAGCCTCACACATCTGATGTGATGATGTCACTTGGGACTCCACTGCATGAAGCCAGGTGACTATCAGAAGACCACATAAAGCAACTGCAGTTCATTTGAAATGCAGGACTGCTAGAGCCTGTGTAATCAATCTTAGAAAGGGGATGCCCCATGGAACCTGGCAACCTGGACAGTGTTGATCCTGCCGTCAAGTACATGTGGGCTGTCACAGAGGAATGTGCTATCCCTATCTTCAGGGTACAAGAGTGAACAAGTTTGGGAAAAGTGGTCCTTGTTCTGGGGACTGGGACTGAGGCTGCGGGACCAGGTGGTCCTGCAGATGGGTGGAAGGAGCTGTTTTATAGGTGATGGTAAGAGTATAAGGCATAAGCGAAAGGCAGGTGGATACAAGAGCTTAAAATAAAGTACAGCAGAAATCAAGCTAAATGAATACACAGAAGAGAAAAATTGCTGTAACGGTATACTTCTTCATATATGAATGACCTTGGCTACAGTTCCATGGACATGAAAGTGATTGTTGTACTGTAGATTATTGTTGGTTGCTGCATACCTAACAGCACAGAAATCCATTTGGTAAAGTGGGTTTAAGAAAATTGACATTTCATGTTTGGGCCCCTACTGCACATACTGTAACTTTCATGATGATACCACCTATGCAGTTTTATCTCGGGAGAGAGACTGTCCATAAATTATTGAAATTTAATCAAAATCTGCCTTTGTGAAAATCACCATTTTGTGTTTTGGGGCCGTTTTGAAGGGCCTGTAGCTTTGAAGCTAGAATATTCAGATTCACTGGGCACTGAACCCGAATGTATAAACCCTTGAATACCAAATTGAATAAATTCCGTCCAGAAGCCATTCATTCATGTTGAGGGAAGCTGAAAATCTGTAACTCCATCAAAGTCTCTGATCATATCTTATCACAGTTACAGTATTTTTCTCTCATATGCTGTGTGTATGAACTAGTAAAAGTGTAAGAGGAAGGAAATGGGGAAGCAACAGAAATAGAAGGGAAGGAAGAGAACTGAGGAGGAATTGAAAAAGTACATGTGGAAGGAAAATGATTGAAGGAGATTGATATGCCTGACAGTTGTGTTTGCACATAGCTGCATAGCTTTACGCTGCTTGAGAACCTCTGCTGTTTGCAAGAACTCACAAACTCCCTACAGTCTGGAGGAGAAGAGAAAAAGAAACGAAAGTAAATCAGCATGTTGTATCACGTCTTCACACTGTCACTGTTCAGAAAATTAGAGCCTTATTCATGACTTGTTTGCATTTTGCTTTTTATATTCTGGGTCATTTCTGTCTGTGTGGAGTTCACAAAACTTTTTTGCCTGCAGAGGCATCGTGTATGAAAGTTGTTTGTTGTTACTTAAAATGAATTGTCCTCTACCAGTGTTACAGAGTGTGTTATCCTAACCTTAACTTATTGCACAATGTTTTTGTACTTGTTACCACTACTAATTGTGATTTCCTGTATAGAGTGGTTGAATTTTGAGAGATCACAGAGAGGGTGGTCTGGATGGATAAAATGTAAAACAAAAGCATGTGCACAATACATGATCCAAATGGCTGCTTCAGTGATGATAGCTTGCTACAAGAATGTGAGCTGTATAAATATTGAACTTGAGGTTGATCGCTGATTTCCCAGTACTACATTCAAAGAACAATAATTTATTAATTTGAATATTAAGGTAGACAGACAATTTGGTTCATTTGCAATATAGAGCTGAACAAATGAAGTTAACAGAAACCAGTAAGGTGACATTATCCCAAGTTATTCCCTGTACCAAAGCTTCAGTTGTATTAATTAAATATTTCAGTTTGTTAATTGGTTTCACCTTTCAACTTTTGGTATATTCATTGTAACGATTGCAAAAATGTGCCAGTTAACTTTTCCATATCTGGCTCTCCACCTCTGCATATACCAACCCTGAGAACCACTGGATTGATTTCCATTGTGTTTTTCTAAATTTAGTCATATAGTCATATTATAACACAACAGGATGCATGAAATGAAAATTATAAATTTAGTCAGCCTATTCTAATTTTTGTTAAAATCAAGCAGCAATTACAGACCTCCATGTATTTGTCATGTATCTTGAGTGTAACTTGCTAAACAAAGATTTCTGTTTTCTGGGATGTGACACAGTGTAATTTGGAGAACCAGCTTCATCAGTCACTTAGCAGATGGAAGGTGAAGGCAGCAGAGTGTAACTGTCTGCCAGAGTTTATGGTATTACATCCCAGATGGTAGAAATGTTCATAGTGTGTGCCATGAGAACCTTAGTTCTCACAATTTATTACATAAATACTGAAGCAAAAGGCGTTAACTAACAAAAGCTGTAGACAAGAATGCTACATTTTTATGTCCCATACACATTTTCCATGCCTCTTACAGTAATTAAAAATGAGTGAACATGGCAGAATTATTCCATGGTGCATGTATTTTGTAACTTCTTCTAGTGACAGGGAATTGAGTGTCATTTGCAAATAGCTGTGGTAGAGAAGAATCATGTAGAAGGATCTGTGATACCGCTAACCTGCAGGATTCTGAATTAGTTATCTGAGATCCACACAATTTGTGACATGTCTGGCATCTGTTCCCCTGCCAAGCAGAAGGGATCCATTTCTGACATGGGTTTCACTCTACCAGAGGGATGTAGGCTCATTCATTTCCTGCTACAGGATGGCTAGGGTTTAACCCGTTGCCGTGGTTCGTCGTGTATGTTTTGTCAGGGATTTAAATCGTCTGGGGGGGTTCGGCGTGTATGTTTCGTCCAGCTGCACACCTATGTTATAACGCCCATAATAATTGATGGTTTTGCTGTAGATTGTTAGATTTTTCGCTGGCCTGTTGTCACAAGAACAGAGTATACTAAGCCAACGAGTTTAGCTGAGATAAGTCATTGTTACATATGCCTGTCTTGCAGCAAAGTTCCTGTGGCTCTTGCTAGCGGTTTCACCGCTATGAATGTCGTTTATTCTTTGCTACGAAGTTATAAACAGGAGAGACGTGATGTGATGTGTTTATAATATGATATTGCCCCGAGCTGGCCACACTGACACACTCAAATGGCATTCTTAGAAGAGGGTTGTCCAAAATTTTATTCTTGTAAAATCGATTGCTTTCGCACAGTACATAGCACCCATTTCTTAGAAAAACGCCACAATTTAAGGCAGAACACTGTGGTCACCCCCTGAGACGATACGGATGTGTGTGGGGGAGGGAAAAGTACTCATTATCGCTCCAGTTGACGCCATTTTATCGTACTGACCTTGGTGGTCGTTTCGAGGGATGACCATAAATATTTTTTTTGAGCCAGCTAAGCTCTGCTTTCGTTCTCTATATGCCAGCCAGTTCTTATAATAACTTCATGAATTCTGTGGTCACCCCTACGACATCTGGGGAGCCGAAAAGGTTGGAATCTGAAACGCAGAAGCACCAAACCCTTGTTATGATAACACAAAGGTTGAATTTACTGCAGCTAATCTGTCAAAATATACGACTCACGGAGGGACATTTCCACTTGTATTCCCCCCACGGGGAAGAAGGCAGGGCCGCACAGAAGTGTGGTTAGAAAAAAGAAAGCAAAAGTAAAGATACGCAGTATTGGTTTGGTGATTTGAGCCAGCGCTGTGTTTAGACTAATGCTTCAAGGCGTCACCTGCTTACATAGCCGAGATACCGGGTGCTCATATTATAAGGCAAGGTTATAAAACCATCTTTTAAGATCATTTTAGTGAAAGTTTCATCCTTCAAAGCGTACCATTCACTGCTCATATACTAAACAACCTGCTTCCATTGAAGATATAAAGGGGGTTCATATTATAAGGTAAGGTTATAAAACCACCTTTTAAGATCATTTTAGTGAAAGTTTCATGTTCCTATCTCATAGAATTTAAGAACAATGATGAATAAATAATTTTTGAGCAAAATTTAAATGGCCGGCTGAATATATTACCGCAGGAGCCGCGGCCGCGGAATTTAAATGACCACGTCAAAGGGTTAAACCCTGATAGAGATATTTTGTTATTTCTGTTAACTAGCATGTCCAGACTTACTCTAGGACCATCTCGCCCTCCTCTGTCCTGAGGTATGAAGGTGACATAAGTGCAGGGATGACCTAAAATAATTCTGGTTTCATTTGTATAGTGTAAACTTGATGATGTTATATTTTAGCGTCCTGTTGCACTGACTCATGTCCATGATTTATGCTAACCGTCTTACAGGGCACACACTTTTTCACCTTACTCTTCTCTTTTGCACTACATGTTTCAGCACTAATGTGCCATCTTCAGGTGCGTTTTCTCTATGCACGTCTAACTACTGCATTGCATGCCCTGATGTCTTCATACTAAAATGACTAAAAATATACATTTGTCATGTATAATAATAGATTTTAAATATTAAAACTTTTCAGGATTCGTCATCCTTACATCGTGTCTCAATACGCGAATCACGCCAATCCTCCTCAGTCGGAGCACTCTTCCTACATTCATGTGTGTATTGTGCTGTTTGTTGTGTCTTGCTCCTGTGACTGCGTGCGTTATACTACTGGATCCAGTAGTATAACGCACACAGTCACAGGAGCAAGACACAACAAACAGCACAATACACACATGAATGTAGGAAGAGTGCTCCGACTGAGGAGGATTGGCGTGATTCGCGTACTGCGATACAACGTAAGGATGACGAATCCTGGAAAGTTTTAATATTTAAAATCTATTATTATACATGACAAATATATATTTTAGTCATTTTGGTATGAAGACAGGGCATGCACTGCAGTAGTTAGACGTGCATAGAGAAAACGCACCTGAAGATGGCACATTAGTGCTGAAACATGTAGTGCAAAAGAGAAGCGTAAGGTGAAAAAGTGTGTGCACTGTAAGACGGTTAGCATAAATCATGGACGTGAACTTCATGGCTTAGTCATTATAGGTTTTGTTCCTGACGAGGATAGCGATGCCTAGGATAACTGAATGTCAACATTAAAACTTCGTCTCCCACAGGAACTACTCAATGTTCAAGATAGCTGGAACATCTAGATCAATTGGCAGGAGAAGTTGAACATAAGAGGAAGATTTTTTATTATTATTGTTGTTCATCTAGTCAGACTGAATCTGGGCTGAACTTCGTGTCTGTGGCACATCTGTTTGCTTAAAACCAAAGTTTATGCATATTAATTATACCAATATCAATTTATTGAAGCACTCTAAGGTTACATTTATTTGCAGAAGAGAATTAATTTGTGAGGTTGTTGGAAGTTGTTGTACCAGTGTTGTGCAGAAGTCAGTGAACAAAAATTATATCCTACTGCATATGATGAGCAAGTTAATTGTCCTGGAGACTTAAAGGTTTGTTCATTCTTTTCACAACAATTTTGTATTGAAAAGAAAGAAGAAATGTTTCCATTTCTCTGGGATATTTCAGGGCTATGAAAGAAAGCCTTTGAACCTCTTGTGTAAATGTAGCCCTGGATACAGTCTGTCCAAAATATGTTCAAGGAGACCTTATAGAGAGAAAGTTAAGTGTATTCAATGAGGTCTCTGATATAGTGATATTGGTTCCCACTATATGTTGTAACTTTCTAATGGTGATGTAATGATCCACATACATTACTGTGTGATGACGTATTCTCAGAGATGCAAGACAGTACACCTTACATTCTTGTCAGGTGTGCTGCAATGGTAAGGCAAAGTACAGTGGAGCTGATTTGTTACACATCAGACACTGAAGTGGGGAACTCTTTGTGTGCAAAAAGTGTGGCTAGGGGAGTTGGTCGATGCATTATTTGCTAAACAGTCATGCATAATTGCTTTAGCAGTGTGGGGTTACTGGATGGGTACCTGTAAGTGGGTCACAACTGGTACATACTAAGGTTTAATAACAGTTTGTCAGAGTGGGGTAGAGATGCACGCTTGTAGTGGTGTCTGTACATGCATTGATTACTGTAAAATAAAGAATTTGTTAAAATTTATGTTTTGTAATTTTTGGTTCTTAACAGCGTATCTATTTCAGTATTCAGCCTCTTCCATTTTCTTCCGCCCATTTCTTCAGATACTGCTGGGTTATGCACAGGGAAATACTTTGTATTGTGAGATTTGAGGTTCCCGTGGCAGCAAGTATGAAGGTTACTGTGTTTACAGGTGTCATGTGCAGTCTCATAAAAAGTTATTGGTGTTTTGAAGGACGCTGCTGCCTTTGTCTTCAGAGTAGATTATTAAGCCTTGCAGAAAAACAAGATTACAGTTGTAGTGAGGTGAGAAAGGGAACGGCTAATGGTTAGACTGTGGTGGGCTATTGCATAGTAGCAAGTTCTTCCAAAAGGTTACGTACAACACTACAAGGGTGTCATTCCAGGAGACAGTAATTTTCGCACTTTATGATATTTGTATGTATGGGAAACCCTGATAACAGTATGTTTTTCTCAAAGCATATTGTCTGTGGTTTGTGTTAATGTAAGGCTCAAAACAGATGAATGTGTGGGTTTGATATGTATTATGCATGGAGAGAAGAGACAAGAACTGTTCTGAGGCAGGTTGCATTATGGCTTCATTTGCAATAAAAGTGCAGTGTTAGTCTCGGTAGACTTCTGTAGAGGTGATTTTATTTATTTTCACCAGGGCTACCTATGTTATTACATTTTCCATTTATTTGTTTTCTAGGGCTATGATCTGCATCTTTAATCTGGATGCCCTCCCTCCCAATTAATCCTGATTAGCTATGGTTTACTATATCTGCAGTCAATTACCACGAATTTCGGTTACATTTTGTGTATAGACCAGTTACTCCACAAGTTGAGCACAGTTGGATTTTTAATGCGAAAATTATCATGTGTACTAAGCATAAATAACTTAAATCTGTATACTATGCATATTATCACTCTTTAATGAAATATGGAATAATATACTGGGGTAATACTCCTGATTGTCATAAGGGTTTTCTTATGCAAAAGAAAATAATTAGAATAATGATGGGAGTGGGACCAACCCACACTTGTCGTGACCTGTTTAAAAAGCTTGAAATCCTGCCAGTTCCTGTGTATATTTGCTTTCACTTATGATATGTTGTGAACAACTATGATAAGTTTTTGAAAAATAACTATATATACGATTGATACTAGGAATAATGATACTCGTTTATCATCTTATCAGAGAGGTGTATATTACTCAGGTATCAAACTTTTTAATGTATTACCTAACAGTGTCACAATTTTGAGAACAGACAGAAATCAATTTAGGAAGGTTTTACTAAGACATCTGCTGAGAAATTCTTTTTACTCTATCGATGAATTTATAGAGCATACAAGAGTTACAAAGTAGAGCATAAATAAATAGTATGAGTAAACAGATTGTAAGTTACTCCCTTTGGTTGGATTTAATAGTGGCTGTACTGATTAATTTAACACTTGGCACATCTAGTCAGTTAAGGCTGAGAATGGACTTAACATGTATGTATTTTTCTAAATTGGAAAATTGGACTGACAACTTGTGCTCTTTACATGAGGCTCTATTTACCTTATATATATTTTAATATATTATATCTTAAATTTTATATGTATATTTAATATTGCATATTTATATTTATTGCATGTGATCTTTTATGTAAGACTTTGTATGTGACAAATTTTATATCCAGCCCTACTGGGTAACAACTGGATCTATGAAATGTAATTACAAATAAAATAAAAAGGAACTGCAAATAGAATTTTGATTTAAAAGTAAGATTTACTCGTGCTGTGCGCTTGTCATTTGTTTCGAAATGTCAATCGATTATGGTATGTGGAATTTCTCGAAACATAAGATATGGTTGAAGGAGAAAAGGATAATTGTCTGTGATAACTTAGGCTATAAAATTGCTAGCAGTAAGAAGAGTTATGATTAGAAAGCGAAATAGGAATTCCCACCATCAAATATGGAACTGCACGACGACAAGAATGGTGTAAAGGACGGTATTTTGGATGACCTGGGAAAGTCAATAAAGTTGGTGCGTAGAATTGTTAATGTGTTTTGATGTGTGGCTCTTCAACAAATCTGAATTAGTCGACGTTGAAATGAGATAGCATTTGAATTCGGTAGGAAGTAGCGACCACTCTGTTGTCCGCAAAATGTATGTGATTTTTAAGTTGTGTTGTTCACGCTGGGTTAATATGTGACACGTAAAATTAGATCGATGACGTTAGGTTGACTACCTGATCAGCTGTCAGTGCATTAAAATGTGAAAGTGGATGGTGTGACTACTCTTTCACTCTGATTATATTCTTTTGAAGTTTCAGATAATTGGCGCTTTAGTAACAATGATAACGGACACAGTGATCAGTTAGCAGCGATGGGTGATTAGACAGTTGGTACATAATATGCAGGACTAGCTGCAAAGGCCAGCTCAAAGTTTCTGATTCAAGTACTCCAGTAAGATACCATATAACGCAATTAGGCTGATCATATTTGAGACGTTGAAGTTTAGATTTCTGCATCGTGGGGTTATTTTATTGGCAATTGAAATACCAAAATATGCCTAGCCAAGCGTGTTCACGGCCAAAAAATAATGATTTAATTATTAAGGAGTATTTTGCTGTGATTTTTATGTATTCAGATTATTTATTTTATTTTATTTCAGTATTTTCTTGTCATTTCTCAACTTTCGTGATGTATAATTTGTAATGAAAGGTTAATTTTTTTTCCCCTTGGCACTACAGCCCCAGAGGGCCTAGGCCTACCTCCAAGAACTTCTCCCTTCACTTCGGTTTTTCTAGATCTTACACATTCGGTAGGACTCCTTGAGCAGGTGATCAGCTCGTCACAAGGCCTCTACCTGTACACAAACACAGAAAAACGCACACACAGAAACTAAACATCCAGCCCTGAGTGGGATTCGAACCAACGATCCCGGTTTCCAAGCGAGCGAAGACAGTGCATGCCTTAGACCACTCGGCTACCGTGACCAGCTGAAAGGTTAATTATTAAACATATATTACCAGGGCGTCCCAGGACAGGGTTCAGGTGTTCTAAATGCTGGGACATTTAAAATCATTGATGTGAAACATGAAGTTTTAGCCTGGATTGTAACACCATGTAGTTCATTCAGAGACAACCTGAGGTTTCAGCAGGAATGTATCCATCTTCAGAGGGAATAGAATCCTCATTCTTTGGATGTCTGGCCCATAGCCAAGTCAGTATACTCACTGAGCTACCTAGTCATGTGGTATGAGTAGCCTCATTTGGCTGTCCAGACTGAGATTTTGCAGTTTTGCTCAGTTTGTCCAGTCAGATGCCAGGGTAATAATGCAAAATCAGACTGCAAGCCGCTCCTTCCACATTCTCTCCAATTCAGCATTCACTCGTCATCTCACCATTTGATGCTCCCTAATCTGAGGTACTGACAGCATTGCTAAGTGAATATATTTTTAAAATGAGCAGCCACTGTAATTCGGAGTGTAACCTGTTTACAGATACATTCACTTTCATTTTTGATGCATGCTTATTGTGTCAGGTAAGTATGTGAGTACATATTTTCAGAATTAATCAACATAAAACACAAACTGCAATTCTTTTGTTTCATCCAAAGTTTACTTAGCCTAGTAGCTGTTACTAATGGAATGTCATTGCTTCTATTTGCACTCATATGAGATCTTTTCATTTTTGTGGCAGATGACAACTTGAAAAGACATTACCCACTGTCACTGTTAGATACCCACCTTGGAAAAGTAAATTAATTATTAGCCCTTTCAAGCAGAGTGTACTGCTGTCTACTGTAACATTTACAAGTTCTGCATTTTGTCTACAGTCTGTTGTTGTGTTTCATATGACTCTTACAGTAAGTAGTAGTTATTTCCATAAATTCATGATTTGTTTAATCCGTCTTGCAGTGCGTACACTTCTCTATCTTCTTCTCTCACTCGCACTACATGTTTCGGCATAAAAATGCCATCTTCAGGTGCTACTCAATTCACGTCAAACTAGTACATTGTATGCCTTGTCTTCACTTTAAAATAACTAAAATATATGTCCATCATATATATTGACAAATGTCAATCGTAAAAATATTAAAACTGTTCAGGATTCCCGATCGCTACGTCGTATCTTATTACACCAGTCATGCTCATCCTACTCTGTTGGAGCTCTTCTTCCCTATCGTGTGTATTGTGTTTCTGTTGCGTCTTGTTCTCGCGACTGCGACACTATTTCCATAAATAGTGTTAATTTGTTAGTATTTGTAGTGGAGGCATCATAGTGTCTTTCTTGAAAGATAGAAACTGAGTTTTTAAGTATTGAAATGAATGAATCAAGTTCAAGCTTCAGAGGGTTGTAAAACTCTTTTGTGTCTGCTAATGGTTTTCATACAACTCCAGCCTTATCCTTATGTCTGCTTGAAGTCCTTGTCCTGTTCTTGAGTTTGGTTATTAATTTCATTGGTAGACCTTGTCAGGTTGTTAGGGTAGTGGAGTGAAGCAGATTGTGCACATAGCGTGTAGTGTGCAGGGTTCTTAAAAATTGAGTGGGGTGAAGACTGAGGTGTCAGTGGGCAGGAGGATGGATGTTAGAAAAATAGGTTGTGGAATGTGCAAAAGAGGCATTAGTATCACTGTGTCTAAAACATTCCTGAAGATTTGTCATAAGACAGCAAAGTCGATAACTACGGCATCATTAGAAAGTTGTTGTATGCCACACTGTCGGGCGACAGAGTGGATACTCGTACTTGTGGGTTGGTCTTGACGGAGTCGGTCGAGCGGCAAACGTCCGTCTTTTGGTGGAGATGAACTGCTGGAAGATGCTTAATTCAAGAAAGTTTATTACACAGTAAATATGTACAACTGTTACAACAGCAAGTCTGCTTAAGGCTTTAGCAGTGGCCGACTCCTAACTGACAGAGTACTGTCCTATCGACTAAACTTCGTAATCAGATTAGAGAGCGTTCTGGATGGTTTGGGTCAGGGTTCTTATAGCCCTGCCTGTGGGGTGGGGGTTGTGTGAAAGCTTCCTTGGAAGGTACAGAGTTCAACATATAGGAATGTTCTAGAACATTCTATTGTTATTTCATATGGTGGGTCTTCCTGGACCTTGGCTTGTTTTCTTGGACTTTGGCTTGTTTTCTCGGACTTTAACTGATGTTTTCCAGTTTCTCTATGAAGCAACATGACTATTCTTATTTGCTTCCCTTAGTTCAAAATAAGTCTTGTTTGCCCTCTGGCAGATAACATCGGTGAAAGTCAAGTTACAGTATGTGACAAGCCAGTGCTGTTACATTTCATAATTTCCAATTGATATTAGATTCGGATTCAATAAAGTGTTGCTTATAAAACATAACCATTGTAATTATTCTATCCACCATATACCTGTTACATTAATAATATCCGATGCATTACACCGTTATATACAACAAAGTCACTAGATTCTATTCTCACCATACAATGGGAACCAGAATTGCTGATCATACAGGGGATCTTGTCAAGGTTGGCCAAGGTATGATGTACCCTCAGAGATGTTTTAGACAAACAGTATTACCAGTATTCTGTTGCAGGGCAGCGTGTCATATTGCAACCTGTCTCTTGCAGAAATATAAATGTTCACTGAATGCTGTGTCTCCAGGTGCAGCGCTATGCTCTGTGTGGCTGCAAAGGCATCATAGTCATTGATAATGACTCATGGCCGGTTCAGGCATTGTGTCATTTACTTGACCTTGTTCTGCGTCACGGCCTTCAGGACTGGCATCACGGCTTCTGGCCTGTCGTGTGTGAATTCAGCCACTCAGACACTTTGCGGGTCATCCAGTCACTAAAGAGTGTCAACACTTCACTAGGGAAAGGTAATCCGTCTGGTCTGACCCCTAGTGTTCATGGATCAATGTATCACTTTGTGTGAAGGTTTAATTAAGCAGCCATCGATTCCCTGATAACTCCAGTTCTCTCTTTCTGCAAGGCCATGTTACATTTTTAGCAGCTGTGAGAGATGTGAAATGTTTCTAATTCTTTAGTTCATTTTGTTTCAAGCCTTATACTATTTCACTATCCAAATACAGTAGAACTTGGTTATAACGTCATCAAAGGGACCTAAAAATAGTGTCGTTATAAACGAATGTCGTTGTAACCGAAATGGGCACTTCCACAGTAGCCTTATGTTAGTCACGTAAAAATCTACCAAAAACCGAGTTAAAATGTTGCATTTTTTAGTGAAATACGTAGTTAAGTACAGACTAACGTAACATTAACGTGGAATTAATATGGATTCTCCATATCGTTTGTACTGTAGAATTCACCAAACCAAATTCGCGGCATACATCAGCTTTTTTCCTTCCATTTTCTATTTCACGAATCACTTTAACTTTCTCTTCAATGCTTAAAACTTTTCTTTTCATTGCCATGTTTTCGCTACTGCACTTCTCTGGGTTTAGGCAGGAACACTATAGGGTAAGTAGACAATGTGAGGTCCTGTTAGACGAGATTCTAGGAAAGGAATGCAGTTAACAACCTGCCGCGTCCTCTTGCACTATTCACGCAGTCCCACCCCACACCCTTGTTTTCGCATAAAATACACGCTCCTCTTGCAGCCCGCGGTCGTATTCTTCCAGGACAGTCACGTCAGCAAGTAGAGAAAGTGAGGGTGGGCAGACACATCGAACTTTCCCACGATATCAGAGAAATTCAGGAATGAAAATGACGTTACATACGAGGTTGATGCATTTGTGCATGTCGTACTAAGCAAGGTATAAAAACAGTTGCTTTATGAGGAATTAGTTCATACCATTGAATATTGACGCAATAGACAAGGTGTCGCAGAAACTGATGTTGCTATAACCAAGTTTTACTGTATATTATTTCAGAAGTGAAATAGTACGAAGTTCTATCTGAATATGGCCATCTATCTACTCTGTTTCTTGTCCTATGTTGTGTATTGAAAGTTGACACAAGAAGGGGCAGTACATTTGCAAGATCCTGTATACTGGTGTAATGTGTACAGAACTCATTGCTGAAGCCTAAGATTCAGAACAAAGTTGGAGCCTTTTTTTTATTGCTAGTGGGGTGGGACTAAGTCCCTTGTACTGCGGCCACTTCTGGCCTATTGTACCAGCCTCAGATGATAGGTGAGGGTGATTGTGGACCAATTGGTGGAATGAAGATTGGCAGGGGAAACTGAAGCACTCAGAGAAAACCTGCCCCAGCACCACTTTGTCTGCCACAAATCTCACTTGACCAGACCCAGGATTGAACCCGGGCCTCCACAATGGGAAGTTGGAGCTTACTGGAGCCAGTTTTTCTTTCCCATGTTTACTCTACAACCTTATTTACCCCTCCAAATTTAACACTTTTCAGATTTTTTATCGTGGTCCTCCCAGGTCGGTATTCTTGGATTATTATTCTTCTCCTCCTCCTCCCCCCCCTCCTCCTCAGAACACACAGTTCTTCATCCAGTTTTCGACTCTCATGGTCCTGATCTATCAAGATAACTTCATGTTTCTGCAAGAGCACTGCACCAGATTAGTTCAGTTCACATTTGTTCCAGAAACTTTATCTGAAGTTGAAAATTCATACTCTATATGTGTGCATGTGCATATGCATGAGCATGCGCGTGCGCGTGCACGAACATGCATGCATGCGCACATATTTAGTATATTATAGATCATAAATGCAATGATTTCTGTTAACGGGGTTATTTCTTATTCTTCTGAAAGCTGTGAGATTTATTTTTCTTTTTCATATAACGAGTTTTTAACCTCAAGAGTTATTTCTCCTGGATATCTCTTCTTTACCACTGCTGTGGTATCCTCAAAGTCTACAGTTTTTAACCCACTTGGAAGGATATTGAGATGTATTAATTAATGACATACAGGACAAAACTGAGTGCTTTATTATATTCACATATGACTTTTCTGTTGACAGAAGAACTGTGTGTCAGGTTTTGGCCAGTCTGAAAGACTTTGGTCAGGATTAAGTCTACAGACTTCTCAACATTACTGACCCACTAACACAGTTCTGACCACAGCATATTAAATCTGTTGTCTTTAATCAGCGATTCCTTGTTACAAGTTTGCGACTTGGTAGCAGTTTCTGTCCATTGCAGACTTTACTCAGAGATGTCTGTATTGTAATTCAAGTCCGTAGATGTTACGATTTGTGTATGACCCATTAATATAGTATTAGTTTGTCGCAGAAGGTATTTATCTTACCATTTTCTTGAATTTTCTGTGCAGTATTTTCAATCTGTTCCTTCTGGAATATCACTCAAGACATGCATCTCAATGTCAAATTTAATTACAATTTTACTCTTGCTGCATTATTTTTGTTTCTGTTTGTATTAGTTCTTATGTTTGTATCCCTTAGTCACTTATTGCATTTCTATATGTGATGTTATTTTCATTTTTATAAGAGGTATAGAGACAGTTTTTTAATTTGGTGAATTTTCTGAGTGTTGCGATCGTGAATGCAGCACTTACCTCCTGGGAAGCAGTAAAACACGTATTTAAAATCTACAAGTAGGTTCTATTTACACACATTCATGTGCCATGAATAGTTATATTTGCTCAGTAACATGGCGAGTGTTCTCTGTTGTATAACTGCATGTCTTATGTCTGCAGGACGAGCCTGGTTGTACCACACACTGACGGAGGGCTCCCTGCAGAGCTACCTGCACTGTCTGTCTCAGGATGTCCGTATCTTATGTAGACACTATGTGACACAAGCACTCATTCGAGATACACCCAGGACCCAGCAGCTCCTTACATTATTGGCAGGCCTGGAGCACGTGCAGTTCAACCTGTACCCGGTAAGCACACCTGTGTATTCTGCATGCACATGCATTCCCTAATGTTCAGTTCACCACATCTTCATGTGAACAGTCTCTTATCTACATGAGCTATCGATTGTTGAAGTCGCTGTTTCAAATTTTTGCCTGGAGACTGGTCATCCTCAGTACTTACAGGCAGATGGCACAATTGGGCCATGATTACTTTATTCTGATCTTTGTAATTCATTATGCATTACAATCATCTTGTCATTTTAATCTCCTCCTTATTTAAGACTGTCATTGCGCAGGTGCATTCGTGGCATGTTTCACCTGAGCCCTACATTCTGTGAAAGGTTCGGAGCAATTCCTGTGAACATGAAGTCTGTCTGTATATGGGGGATACTTTATGTGCTGGGGGGCGGGGGGTTAATTAGCATCTGGCATTCTGAAAGATCAGGTTTTCACCAGTTTCTGGTAATCTGTATGGTTCTGACAACTTCACTGAGGCTTTAACAGATTCTTGACTTCTGCAAATCTTATTTTATGCTGTCTCTTGGTTTCCACTCAGTTTGTTACTCTTGATATCAAATAGCTATAATCAGAAATGATTTTCCGTTTGCATTGCTATAATTCAGCCATCTTGGTTCACCAAAATGGTGCAACAGCACAGCAGCAGCAGCCGTCTGCTCACACGAGACAAACTTGAAATGTCTTGCAGGATGCAGCTTATCTGGACATGGCAGCCTACCAGCAGCACACTGAGGTGTCATCTGATGTTGTGTCCTTGTGTGGAGATCCTTCTAACTTCGGTCTTCACATGACCTCATCAGTAACATCATCTCTGACTTCTCCTGTGGATTCAGGTGTGGCACTGTTGGACAGTGATGCTGATAACACATCTGTCAGTGAAGCCACAATGAATGAGACCGACTGCCTCAGCCTGAGGGATGACAGAGAGGTGAGTGGGACCCTGAGGGAACAGGACCACTTGGGGCCACTGAGACATGGACAACTTAACAGTGAATCTGAAAGAATTTCATGTATATTTTCAGCTGTAATTGGTCTCCCCAACAAGTATTGTACTAAAGCTTTAAGGCATTCTATACAGAAGAAAGTACAGTTGATCTTAGAAGAAAAGGGTAACAACTAGATTCAGCTGTATCATGACAGGATCCAGTAATGGGCTCTTGTGAACGCAGTAATGAACTTCAGGTTCACAAGACACAGAATTTCTTGATTTGCTTGGTGACTATCAGTTTGTCAAGGTCTCCTCCATGAAGTCAGTGACTTCCCAAAGCTGCATCCACAAATTACTCAGTGACTACAGTCTCTATTATTCACTCACTGTGTGGTGAAAGGTGATTTTTATTTTTAATATCAATTCACTGCTTGACAAAGTAGGTTTTTGACAGCCTATGGCAGACAGCATTCGCTGTTTCTGCACATTCCTGTTCTCTGTTGCGCAGACAGTAACTGTCTTTGAAGAGTACTACCTCGTAGGATGTTATGTCATATAGTCTGACAGAAGTTTCCTGGCATTTTGGAGAAACGTATTGCCTCCGTCTTCAGTGTCAGTGAGTAAGCCAAGTAAGCAACCAGCAAGAAACAAGTAGCAAGCAGAGCCTGTGCTCATCTGAGTCATTGCCAGACTCTGTGGCATCACAGCCTGGCAGGTAGTAATCTTCAGTGTGTTACNTTCAGATACCCATTTTCCCAGTCATGTTTTTCCTTTGTCCTATTTGTATCTGTAACTTCAGGGGTTACATCCATGATTTATTAACTTGTGGTTGATCACTCTTGTTTGCTGTCACATTTGTAGTTTGATCAATAACAGCATGCATATCAGACAATGTTTGTGGTCGTGACTTAATCTACCTGTAGTTTCAGGATGATTCAGGTTGCAATGAAATAGAAGACAATCGAATCAACCACCAGTTGCAGACGCTCGACACACACATGGGCAAGGGATACACCTCAGAGGAGTGCTGTGTAAATACCCATACTGAGGCAGACCAACTTCATGCTGCAACTAAGGAAGAGGACTGTGGAGAAAGTGACAAACCAGCAGGTGCTGGGGCCCTCAGGACCACACCTGCTGAGTCAGGGAATGAGGTGGTGGCAGTGTCCGACATATTCCGGAGTCATTCATTATCCGTAATGACTGCAAGTGACATTGCCAATCAGAACGTGATTGAAAACTCGATCATTCCACCAGTGCTGTGCTCAGCACCTTCTTCATTTGTGGAGTCAAAGAACAGAGTCAACACTGATATGACTGTGATGGAGGAAAGGAAGACTACAAAGGCTAGTTGCATGCCAAAGCAGGGAACAGATGGTGATGACATTGTTTTCCGCAGACAGCGCAACAAGAAGAAACGTAATAACATACCTCCTGATGGCACCACAAAAGTGAAGCGCGTATCATTCCACGAAGATTTTATCAGAACCGAATGTGAATCTGCTGGGAAATGTGGGCCCGATTTCTCAGTGAGTTTTCTTCCCCCAAATTCTGTAATAAAGCGTGATGTAGTAAAAGGGAGATACAGTTGGTGTGGTGAAGGAGATGCCCCCTTCATGCGACGTCGGAACAATGAGTCTGGCACCAAATCCGACATCTATCTTTCAGCCTCAAATCTGACCTCATCAGATGAAACTATTTCTATGGAAGACCCTCTCATGCAACTCAGTAAGAATACTAATAACACAGACAGTAAACAGAAGGATAAATATGCGGTCTCAGAAACTGCTCATGCTCCCCCAGTCACAGAAAGAGGTACCCCAGAAGGCCAGGAAGATCCTCCTGTTTATTCATCCAGTTTGTGTCTTCACAAGCATGAACCTGGAGGGACTTTAGCAGGAGCTGTTGGTGGGCTGAGTGGAAGTCTGAGCAAGTTTTCATCATTCCTGTTGTCTGCTGACCGGTTATCTGATTCAGAAAGCATTCCAGCCTCAGACAGTGAACTCTTCTGCAGCAGCACTGTGCATCTGACCTCATCATCCTTCAAGGAAAACCATTTTCTTGAAAATTCAGGCTGTCAATCCCTACTTGGTGTTCGCCCAGCAAAGCTCCATAGCTGCCACCACCACAGATCACGGAAAGGCACACCCCTTGGTTTAATTCCACCAAGAGAAGTTGCATCTAAATCATCACTCCTGACCAGGTTTATGAGGTCTCTGACAGAAAAGAAATTCATGCAGAAGAAGCCAAAAGTGGCACTGAAGCCATCTCGATCCTTGTACATTCCTGGAGCCAGGAAACTAGATCGTACGGAAGTACTGGAACAGTTCATAACTGAGCTTCATGTGATGGGTCACAATGTGGAACAGGTTGCTGTGGGGACTCCTGACTTAGAAGAGACCTTCCGGACCCAGGTGTTTTTGGACTCTTTGGAAGTGTTATATAAGGTGAGATATGCACCTCCTGATGCATGTGCCTTCTTCTGTCAACATCTGTCTGTCTGTCTGTCTGTCTGTCATCATTTCTTCTCAGGGTGATGGCGTGAAGTATTCATTGTACAGATCAGAAATGCATTCAGAATTCAGGTTGGAAAACTGAAGCAAATGTACATAGTCAAGTGTTTCTTGTTCCACTAAGACACTGTCACCTTGTCAGTGAAAACGCTGTAGTTATTAGTTCCTCGAGGCTTGGGAAGTTGTGGATGCATTCCTGCTGCTGATATTGTATCGGACTTGATATTAGAGAGCAAGACCCTGCACTTTACTTGCCTTTGCTGCAGGTTTTCAAAGTGAGCAGTTCCTACTACAGCACTGGGATTGCCACACCATTACTAGCATTGCTGACCAACATCAACCTCTACTTAATTGGAGTCAAGAGTAACTACACATATTGCAACAAGCTTGTCATGCCATACACAGACCTGGATGCAATGCTGGTGAGTTCCTTATCATTACAATCTTCTGGTAGTTTACCCTCTTTTCTGTATGCATAATTATGCTAGATGCATGATTTTGTCACCAGGTGGGTCCGAACATGCAGACTGTGCTGCTAGTCAGTGCTGACCGACAGACACAGTTCCTTCTCGTCACTGGTGATCATTCGATCACAGAACAGCTTGTGGGTCATATTGAGATCGCTATGCGGCGAGCCCCTACAAAACCAACCCTTCCAGCAGTCAGGGTTCTGGAACTGGAAGATATGAAGGGTTTGGCACAGGACATCTCAGTTCTAGCGGTGGGTTCTGCTGAGCCGGTTCACATCCCCTTGACTCATTCTTGAGATTCAAAAAAATGTTGCACTCTGCTTCAGTCACATGAGTTCTTGGTCTCTAGGCTGTTTCATGATAAAGAGGTTTTATGGTTTTCCTCAGTCCATCCAAGCAAATGCTGAAATAAGACCTTAATATATATCCCATGACTGTTTCCTTCCATATCCTTTGCAGTTCATTATTTATTCATTCATGTACAGCTGTGAAAGTTCACTCATCTTCCAAGTCACTGCCTTCCACAAGGTTTTCCCATTGACATCAGTATGTGTTTCTTGTTATTTTCCTGCAGTTGACAGCCCATGCCATTATTACTGCTATTAGTATTGCTGTTTTTTGTTGTTGTTATTCTGTTGCCATGTTCTTGGAATGGCACCGTTGTGTCCATAAAATATTCAGCTAATTCTTTTTTTTTTTTAAATTACTAGTGGGGTGGGACTAAGTCCCTTGTACTGCGGCCACTTCTGGCCTATTGTACCAGGTCAGGGAGTTCCTTACATGTTCACTGGAAAACTACTGAAGAGCTGATAGTGTGGTTTCTCTTCCACAGGGCGAAGCTATCTGTCATTATAGCATCGTGCACCTGCAAGACCATCAAGTTAGTCCCCCCTCAACCCCACTGGGACCCACAAAGGAAGGCCATCTTATGTTCCGGCCAGCAACAGACACTCCACTACAACCCTGGGAACCAGGTTTCTTCATGCTGAAGTGAGTAGCCGGAAGTAGCCACTCACTTTTCCTTCAGGTGGCCCCTCTGTGTGCTGTGTTTCTTTCACTCTTGTACAATTTGTGTTGCATAAGAACTTGGTGCAGAGTGCTACAGAATATGTTTACAGTCGTGAAAAAGGAACTAGCCAAGTGTAAGTGTCTGAAAATTGTTTTCCCTATGCTTAATTCAGCATCATTCCACAAAGTCATATGGAGGAGTGGATGTGTAGCTCAGCACATTCTTAATCTCTGCAGTGGATGTAGATGAGCAGTTTCACACCAAGCCTGCTTTACCTCCTCAGAAAGAGCCTCCAGTATCCATTGCATATGAGGCTAGGTGGGCCCCAGAGGCAGTCTGGATGCTGCGAAGGAGAGAGGAATCTCTTGCTCTTACTGGGAATTGAACCCCGATTCCTCAGTTTTTCTGCCCGTAACCTATTCACTGTACCTGTTACTGTATCGCATCTCCTAACTATAGTTGGTGTATGAAATATGTATGCAGTGTTGTAATACTGGGATCAGCAGTTCGTCCATCCTCTGTTGAACACATGTACCATGACTGGCTTGAATCCAGCAATGTACCTTGGTACAAATACCTGGTCTGACAGTAAATTCATGGACTCATTGTGGTAAAAGTGCTACATTCCGCATTGTTGAATATCACTGTGGTTGCCTTCAGAGTACTCCCATTGGGAAGCTATGCTGTGATGCCAGCACCAAGTCCACTCTTCAGAACAATTTTGGAACTGTTTTTGTGGAATGGCCTTCAGAGCTGCCTTTCTATTAGTTAGTTAGTTATTAGAGAGGGTGGGTTTCTCCATGCACTTAGACCTGTAATGGTCCATTGTGCTTCCCTCTATGAATTCTACCCGTCTCTATATCGTACCGGTACTGGTGCTTACCATCAGTCCCGCCCAGCCAGCGAGACCTGCTCTAGTAGCTGAGAGGTATCTATAATGCTTCCTCCATCTACCGGAGGTATAAGTGACTGCTGTCTGGCGGCAAATGTCCGCAATTTTGCTCAGTGATCCCCTTTGGGGATATGAGGTTCTTTTACGTGCCGTAAAGCTACGACATGAGACCCACGGCTTAAAGTCCCTCCCGGAGGACTTGTTCCCTGAATTTTTCTGCCCTTAAAAATTCGACGACCTCCGCCGGGTATTTGAACCCGCGTACTACGAGTCATGAGGTGGGAACGTTACCTCTAGACTACGGAGGCCGCTTGCCTTTGTATTACTCCTGATGTCATCAGTGTCATCAAAATGCCTTTCAATATTTCCTTTATCGTCAGGAACAGAAAAAAGTCATTGGGGGCTAGATCTGGTGAATAAGAAGGGTGTTCCAGCACAGTTATTTGTTTACTAGCTAGAAACTCCCTCACAGACAGTGCTGTGTGTGTACGTGCACTTTTGTGATGCAAGATCCATGATGGCACAACAAAACACACTCAGACAATAATAGATGCCATTCAGAAAGAGACTGTCATAGAGCAATAACAATACAACTGTGAAACACTGATGTGCCAACATCATCAGACCTCATATTTCATGATGTAAATTAAAGCCTTGGTAATCCATTTAAAGTTAATTGGGATGTCAGATAATCCAGATCAAAACATGACAAATTTTGATCACAGTGGGATTTATGAATAGGAGGGCTGTCAGTTTGTGTTGAGGGCAGCTGGAGAGACTGAAACCATGCAAGAAAATATCCAAGATTGGCTTGCACTGGATGAAGGAGACCCTGGATTTCAGCTTCTGACGGAGGGAGAAATTGCTGCAGTGATATATCTTTTTTTTCTCATCAGCACTACCTACCTGTATTATTAAGTTTGCCATTTATTTTGTCTTTTTTTTAGAGATATTGTTTGCTTTATTAATCTGGATTAACACTTAATCCAGATGACCTCTCCCGCAAATTAATATGAATTAGCAAGAGTTTACTATATCTGCTTTGTGTGATGTATCTCGTCACCATAACAATTTGGTGCAATCAAACACTCTTGTTGGCTGGGTAGAAGTCCTCTTTCCTGTTCAGTGGTTCAGATCTCAGCCTGGGGACTGACTGTGCTCTCTGACATTTTCCATAGTCTTTCTTAGTCCACTGAGACAGGTGGCAGGATAAGCCTCAGGTTAGACCATGACCACTTTCCTGCACATCCTTTCCCATTCATTAATCACTGATTATACCATGTGACATTATAAATTCAGAGTCCCTGACAACATTGTTAAATAAACCATCAGACTAGGTACAGAGTGTGTACGTAGCATGAAACTCCTTTTCATGTGCTCAGTACACATTTACATGAACAGCAGTTCCTGAAGGTTTTGCTGCAAGTGGTTGACCTTTGAAAATTTCATTTCTATGCAGGGCTGGTGTAGTCTATATGTTTGGTGACAAATCCTGTCACTTGCCCAAACGTTGGATCCCACTGAGGGGGAATGGATGTCGCCGTATTCCTCATGCTCACCGCCCACATACGTTTGAGATCATCCTGGGTCCACGGAGATCATTTCAGTTTGCTGCCGCTGATGAGTATGAAGCATCTGATTGGCTGCAGGCTTTTATTCAGGCAGCATCTGGTGTGAGTATCCTGGCCGATGCCCAGGCTGCAACTGTGTTCACTGGTGCTTTCTTTCCAATTCTCTGTGCATAATCATTCTTGGCCCTCGTAGGGATATAACAAGAACTGTATCTAACATTTTGATGGGAAAACCTGAAGGGAAGAGAATACTTGGGAGACATGAGCATAGATGTGAGGATGGTATTATGTGAAGTGATGGGTACCATCTCCTGGGATGTGACACTGTGTAGTTCAGTAGAGGTTCACATTTTGGAGGAATGTTGGTGAATTTCTGCTGAACTGCACAGTGCAACATCCCAGTCCCCGCAGTGAGAACATTAGCTCCAACAATATTGAAATGGTTCTTGGAGAAATTCGTTGTCAAAATATGCAGGAGCAGTAAAGTAAGTGCTCTCACTTTGTGCAGGTGCATGAAGAGGGGCAGGCACAGACCATGTGCTGCTCACTAGTGGTGACGACACACCACATCATCACTTGCCTAGAAAGGTTTGCGGGATGTGCACAAGTGCAGACACTGTCATGTGCTGCAATACAGGATCTCACAGCATTCACTGTTGAATCACTAGAACACAGCTGGTGTGTGCTGGTAAGTTGCTCCCTCAGTCTTGTCACGGTCACTGCACAATGAACATGTGTACAGCCTCGGTCCATATTTGGCTTAGCAGTTTGTAATGTTTGTTAATGTTCTGTTTTCTTTAATAATCACTGTAGTAATATTGCATGTGATGTCTTGAGAACAGTCCCCATACAATGAGACACTACATCAGCTGTTCGTAGACTTCAAGAAAGTCCATGATTCAGTTAGGAGGGAAGTATTGTACAGTATTCTGATAGAGTTTGGAGTATCCATGAAACTAGTATGGCTGATTAAAATGTCTTTAAACGAATTGTATAGTGAAATCAATATAGATGAGCATTTGTCTGATAATTTCCCTATCTAGAATGGTCTAAAACAAGGAGATGCTTTATCGTTGCTGCTTTTCAGCTTTGCTTTAGAATATGCCATTAGGAAGGTCCAGGGAAACCAGATGGGACACCATCTGTTGGTTCTGTACTGATGATGTGAATCTACTGGGGGGTAACATAGACACCATAAAGAAAAACACAGGAACTTTAACTGATGCTGGAGTTGGTATAGAAGTAAACACAGAGAAAACTAAGTAAATGTTGCTATCTCGTCACCAAAATGCAGGGCAAAATCATGACATAAAGATAGGAAACAGATGTTTTGAAATTGTGGCACAGTTCAGGTATTTGGGAACAACAATAACAAATCAAAACCTGATTCAGGAGGAAATTAAGAGGCGATTGAACTCGGGTAATGCTTGCTACCATTCAGTCCAGAACCTTTTGTCTTGTCATTGCTGTCAAAAATAAAAAATTAGAATATACAAAACTATAATTTTGCCTGTGGTTCTCTGTGGGTGTGAAACTTGGTCTCTGACATTAAGGGGGGAACATAGCCTGAGGGTGTTTGAGAGCTTGGTGTTGAGCAGAATATTTGGACTGAAGAGAGATGAAGTGACAGGAGGTTGGAGGAAACTACTTAATGAGGAACTTCATAAATTGTACGCTTCTTCAAGTATAATTGGAATGATCAAGTCAAGGAGGATGAGGTGGGCAGGGCATATAGCATGAATGGGGGAGAAGAGGAATGTATGTAGGATATTGGTAGGGAAGCCATAAGGAAAGAGACTACTAGGAAGACCAAGACATAAGTGGATGGAGGATATTAAAATGGATTTTAGAGATAGGATGGTCTGGATTGGATTGCTTTCGCTCAGGATAGGGACCACTGAAGGGATCTTTTGAGCACAGTGATGAACCTTTGGGTTCCATAATATGCTAGGAAGTTCTTGAGTGGCTGCGCAATTGGCAGCTTTTCAAGAAGGGCTCAGCTCCATGGAAGAATTAACAAGTGAGTCACCCAGTGGGTTGCCAGCTGAAGAGTGGCTGTGCGATGGAAGGGCTGCTGACTCAAGTCTCTGTACAGGATCTGTGCACCAGCAGCACTGATATCCCAGGTCTCATTAGGCCTGATACTGGGAAGTGTGGTGATATAAAGACATAGACATTCGGGTTCTGGACTGTACTGAAACTCTTGGTAACTGCAATACAGAACAGAACCAAGACTTCCTAGAAAGTGTGGCAGAACAGAAACACAAGCCAGTATTTAGTTTGTATAGTGTATTACTTAATTTATTTGGTGGTAAATTTTGGAGTAGTCCATCAGAAGCTAGTCACTGAGCAATTAATTCACTGGTTCACACAGGAATTTGCCTGCCGGGAAGTGCATGAGGGCAGTGGAGACTCGGTGCTTTACTTTGCATCTGCTGGTGAGATGCGCGGCTTCATGGATATTCTGCAGCACCTGTGGCTGTCCTTGCAGCAGGTTAGTAGAGAGAAAAGTTACGCATGAAGATGGATTGAACTGGCTCAGCATGGAGTTCAGTGGTGAAGTTTTGATAACAAGAGGAATATTTGGCTTCCATATTAACATGGAGGAGGGCACACAGTAGCATAGTTAGTTGAGGCACTATGCTATAAGCCAGAAGGTCGCAGGTTTGAATCCCAATGAAGTGGACCTTGGGGTTGACTCAGCCTCTAACAGAAATGAGTACCCGGAATCTACCTGGGGGGTGAAGGGTGGCCTGTGCCTAAGGCTGACAAACTTACCGCCGTCTGTGAACCGATTGTCTAGAGAAAATGTGGGAGCTTCAACGTCTCACAAATCTACGGGCCTTCATGGCCTGTTACAGGGATAGCTTTACCTTTTTTTTTTTTTTAATAACATGGAGAGCATATGAATATCTATTGACTCTGCACAAATCTCTTTGTTGGAATATTCTGGGGTAAAAATGTAAGGTAAAAGCCATTCCTCTAACAGGCCATGGAGGCCCATAGTGTTGTAAGACATGAAGGCTTCCCCCACATTTTCTACAGCTCACAGATGGCAGTGAAGTTGCCAGCCTTATGCACCAGCTGCCTTTAACCCCCTAGGAAGATTGCTGATACTCATTTCTGATAGAAGAGGCTGAGCCAACCTCTGGGCCATAATGTGGCTGGAAGGGATTGTTAGGTCTATTGAAAAATCCAGTGATGTTATTGGTAATTGAACCAACAACCTTTTGACTTGTAGCATAGTTACTCAACCAAGTACCCTACCTAGTGCATATTTGGGGGTTGGCGAGTGAAATAAACAGAAATGTTCATTCAGGATTTGAAGTAAGGTCATATTGGTTAGACAAAAACACTTCAGTGTGCACATATTTTCAACCTAGAATGCTTCTTATGGTCCGATGTTATGTTGCAGACTGAGTTCCCACTCTGTCCAATGGCAGACACCTCACTGGGCAGACGGTGTAGAGAAACCAGCACACTTCTAGCAGGTGCATGGGATGTCCTGCTTCCAGCTGTTTCTCACACCTCTTTGTAACCTCAACATGGTCTTCTCCTCACTCACTATATTTTCACTGTCCCATGCACATGTATGGTTCTGCGCCCACATGAGGCAGCTATGTGTCGAGCAGTCTGTTCTCGTAATATTCATCTGCACTGTGAGTTTTGTATCTTCAGAGAGGAAACAAAGTGGTAGCCTGCTTGGAATTACTCATTTTTGTAGAAATCTGTGGAGCATGAAGACTTATGTAACAAACACTCTTGACTTTGCATGATTATTGACAGGCTGATACACTTCTTGGTGGCCAGCCCCAGACCTACAGAAGCAGAAGAAATAATAATTGTGATATTGCTTTCTTTCCTGTTTGTGTATTGGTAAGTACATGTGCAGGATGTAGATACAGAAATATGTGTAAGTTGCAGCTAGGCATAGTTAGCTTTATAACAGTAGCAAGTATATATATTATTGAGTCTTCAGACATGGGACTCTTTCCAGCAGCATTAAGGAAAACTGTCCCACTGTTTAATGTTCCGATTGTAGTCTGCTTTGGTGCTAGCATAAACTTCACGCAGGCTCAGTGTTCTGCTGCTCCATTTCAATCTCTGCATAGCACATTGAAGCACCAAACTCATACATGAAATGGTTTGTCTGACAAAAGTTAGAGTTCTTCCTATTGGTTGAAGAACTACTTTTAGTCTTAAGAACAAACATGCTTGTGCTAGATAGTGTGGGCCTTCTGCAGTCATCAGAACAAAAAGACAAGAAAAGTCTCTTCATGCCCACAACTCCAGAGAAACTGCAGTTTAAGGAAAGAAGAATTTTAGTATAGTTATTATATCTGAAGTATCCATTTATCTTGCGTAAACAGTGACACAGTTTCTTCCTTTGTAAAGGTAAAAAGGAAAAGTTATGGCTGTGGTTACTTAGTTAAGTCATAATGAAATTTGGAGGAATGGAGATAGCTTCACATTCTCAACAAGGAGATGAATCACAGAGATATTGGGTTTTCGGACTTTATCCATCATCCTGGTTTTAAGATAACTAAGAAGAACACAACATTTCGGAAACTGGATCTGTTTCCATCCTCAGGTGAGGGAAAACACCTATTCTGTTGGGTCCCTCACCTGTTAACGGAAACGGATCCAGTTTCCGAAACGTTGTGTTTTTCTTAGTTATCTTAAAACCAGGATGATGGATAAAGTCCGAAAACCCAATATCTCTGTGTGTTATACACCATCATCAGAATCCTACAGTGAGGAGATGAATGGTCATTTTCTCACTACGGAAGGCTGTTCTACTACCAGAGTAAGAGCCCCAGTTATCCTCAGGATAGGAGGTTGGCTGGGCTGCCAGTCTGCCATGCTATGGTGAAAAGTCTGTCTCTTCTGGGAATCAGATCTCCAGTTCTTCAGTCACCAAGCCCATAGCCCCAGTCACTACGTACATATACTGACTGCACTGTGCTGGCTGTCATCTCTTCCCTTATATGCAACATTTAATTAAATGGCTAATGGAATGGGCATTGAAGAGGCTTTGCGTTGGGAATAGTATGAAGCATGTGTTGACTTTCTGACATGTTCCACAGGACAACCATACAGTGGGAACTTCATTTTGTCTGCTGAATTCTTTGTGCACAAAGTCACATTTTCGTTAATATTCATATAATGGTCCTGCAAGATTGCTCTTGTCAATATGGTTGTATATATCAGCTGTCAGTCCTTAACATGATTAACTTCTGCCATTGGCTGCTTCTGTTTAGTGAAGTCTGATTTCTGATGCTGATAGCATTATGTTACCATGGGTCTTACACCTATTCTACCTACTTACATATTTATGCTTTAATTTTTATAGCTGTTTGGGAAATCATGTATAATCATTATGACCATGTTAGTTGTATTTTGATATTTATATCACAAGAACCTCCCAAACTGTATATTCAATCTCGTAGCTTCGAACAGTATGCAGTATTGTGTTATTCCTTGACCATCTTTGGCAAATCTTATATCTTATGAATGCAATGGCATCCACACAAATTTAATGGTCGCTGACAGACCAGCGGCTCAAGTTTCAACAAAATCTGTGACAGCTTTACCAGTGTGACTTTCATAACAAACTTGAAATATGTAGGAAATATTTTGCCTTATGTGGGACTTGGTGCAATATTCTGGGCAGCTAAGTCACAGTCTCGAGTTTGAGACCAGCCTGATGCAAGGTATATTTCTCTGATCTGAGTACGAGGAATGTCAGGTCCATGTTACACCACATTTCTGCTGGTCATGACTGTACCACTGGGTAGGAGAGCCCCCCCCCGTCCCAAATATCTAGTGTGATGGAAGTGTCCATGTCTAATTGGATGGCAACTTTCAGAACACACAGTAGCATTAGTTTCTGAACAGTGAACAGTGTAACAAATGCCTCTGATGTTCCAGAGTAATTCTATTGTAGCGAATGGTTCATATCATGTCCTTCTGTTTTGATGTGGCTTTCACTAAGAAAGAAGGTTTGGGAAGCAAATGCAGGTTTTATATGAAGACATGGTAACTCTTATCAGTATTCCATGACTGTCATGGTGGTATGTTGATCTTAAGGAAACATTATCACTGTAGTCACGTTGCTGTACTTCCAAGATTATGGTTCTTGAATCCTTTGAGGTAATGTGTAACTTTTTTTTTGGGGGGGGGGTGTCAAAGTGAATTAATTCTTTACTCCCTATATGCCAGTATTATTGTAATACAGATTCATAAAAATCCTGCTGCTCTGTGCACAGACTCTCAGGTAGCACATGAAGAGTTTTCTCTGTGAAAATGTACCTGATGAAGTGTGTTCCTGGAAGGCATGAAGGGAAGATCCCTACAGGAGAACATGTTTCTCGCTGTGTCTGTGGATAGGCAAAGCTGAGAACTGCTCACCATGCGGTTCCACTGAAGCCAGTGAAGTGCCACATGCTAGCACAGTAAACCCTCACTAATCCGGATAGAAATGCGAAAATGCTGTTCACACTTGAGTACATACTTTAAGAGACTCGTGACATTCAGGAAGGTAGATGAGTCACTTGTCTGTTCAGACAGAACTTGGCAGTTTCTTCAAACCTGCAGTATTATGTTGAAAAACAAGTAAAACTTCTGCGTATTGTCTCTGTATAGTTTTTAAATAAAGGCTCTACAGTGATTTTTTGTTTTTGTTTTCATCAGCACTATTTGTATCATAAAATTTTACATCTATTTGTGGTGTAAGTTTCTTTGGGGGTGGGGGACTACCTTTTGCTTCACTAATCCAGATTAGCATGTGTTTACTGTACTTTGTTTCTGCTTTAGACAGTGCAGATGCTTGAAACACAGATGTAGAGTAGGAATGAGTTACATTTCCAGCAAACAGAATTATACTCATTACATGCCATAAATATAACTTTTGTATGGAAATTAATTTATCAGCTTTATTTAAGTGTAATATGTTCTTGTTCTCTCCGATAGCTTTAATTTCATACTTTGTGTCCTGTATTCAATAACCAGTATCATGATGGTCCTTGTAAAGCAGAATTTTTTACCTGGGGTTCCATGATTAGTGATTAAAGGTTCTGCACGATTCATTAGATGCCTGAGAAAAGTAGATGAATTTACTTAAATGCTGTGTGATGAACTCATTATATTAGAGATGTGCAATATATAGTTATGCTAAATAGTTTAGCATTTCCTAGCAACGGAGAGCTGACTGAGAAGCCTTGTGGGTTGAAATCGTGAAAGGAATTTATATGAGAATGAATGTGTTGCTGTGGCATATGGGAACATTTGCTTTACCGAGAATGACCCACTTGCTTTGTGTTTCCCCCCCCCTCCAAATGAAACATGTTGGTTGAAACAGTACATTTCTGCTGCAGGAAACTGTTTACAATTTCATATCCCTGTTTGTGGAAATGAAAACAATTTTGATATGAGGTCTTTTAAACCTGTTCTCGTAGACATACAGTTCTTATATGGAGGACACACTAAATACTAGTAGTTTCAGTAAGTCAGAAGTGATGTATGCAGTCCATCTGTAAGAAAAAATTAAGCAGTTCACAATTACTTGTAAAATGCCATTGTAGTGTTGCTCTTTGCAAGCCTATATAAAGCCTCTGTACATATAAATGCCATATGGCGGGCAAAAGCCTCATATCTTAATATAATCTGTGAGGTGTTGGATTGAACTGTGACTTTTTATTATTAAACCACAGGGTGACATTTGTCTCATGTTAAATCTCTTGAGAGTGGTTTCCCTGTAGCATGCAAATACTGACAGTTCTGCCTTCACCCCAGAGAGACCCAAAAGCGTCAGTTTCTTTCTCGCTTCTGTTGATCTTCCTGCAGCCGTATGGTATCCTGATCATTATTGTGAAAGCTGCAGTTTATGTAAATACTGTAGATTTACATGAATCCTGTATGTATAGCTCTTTGTTCTTATAATGCTACAGCATATACCACAAAGGTGTAACTCCATACAGTATGGCTTAATAAAGGAATGGTGAGGTTTGGACTGAAGATAATGTTTCCTCCAGCAAGGAAACTGATAATGTTTGTATTTATTTGTTATTTGTTGTATTTTGTGGATGATTTGACTTGTTTGTTTTGTGACAGTTTTTTATTACTGTCACAGTGGTGAGTGTTCTGTTGAGGTTCAAGTTCATGAGGTGTGTTTGTTGTGTGCCAGTCATGTCATTCACTGATCTGGTCATGTTCAATTTCAGTTTTCTTTCATCCTTTTTGAAGATACAAAATACTATGCATAAAGTTCAGCAAACAGTTTTGTGAAACTGTTCGTTAAATTGTTTGAGTTAATGTGCTTTCAGTTCTTTTAACTTCATGGTTAGGCTGCACCATAGCTCAAGCGGTTAATCCCTGGCTTCCCACCGTGGCGGCCCCGGTTCCATCCCAGGTCTGGTCAAGTGGGATTTGTGGTGGACAAAGTGGCGCTGGGGCAGGTTTTCTCCGAGTACTTCAGTTTCCCCTGCCAATCTTCATTCCGCCAATTGCTCCACAATCGCCCTCACCTATCATCTGGGGCTGGTACAATAGGTCAGAAGTGTCCGCAGTACAAGGGACTTAGTCCCACCCCACTAGCATTAAAAAGTCAACATTTTGGAAGAACATGCTTCCTCCATCTTCAGGATAGAAGAGTAAGCTGAACATGGAAATTTGATATGGACACAGAGAAAGGGAGGAGTGGGACACAGGTACTGATCAAAACAGTAGGTCTGAAGAGAACAGTGTAAAGGGCATTGGCCCTTGAAATAGTCCTCACTCTTGTTATATCCACTGTTTCTTCCATGCTCAACTTACACTTTGCACTGAAGATGGAGGCATTAGGTCACTGAATTGTTGGAACCTCTCCACCACTCTGAATTGCGTTGCATCTCAGAAGGCTGTAATCTTTATAATGACTACTTGTTTGTGAATGCACATTTGATGTTCTTCTGGGTCCGTGCCTGCTGCTGACTTCAGATGATGGTTGACATTTACTTGGAACATTCATTTGGATTGTTTTAATTTCTTGTGGCAGAGAGTGGGATTGAGCACAAGATGAGATGATAATATTAAAATAGACTGTATTGAAGAATAGGAGGTGGTTGGAACTGCTTCAAGATTATGTACCCCGTTTTGGCCAGTTGGGTATTTAAACTCCGATAGTGAAAGTGCGCGCACACGCCTCTAGTAGAAGTGCATGCACAGTCCTAAATATTTATTTTTAAATTTAGTAATTACCAGACAGGCTTGAGTGAAACCCTAATAGAGAATTAAAATGATACCTAAGTGAACAAGTTACTGATCAATCAATGTATGAGTATATATTTTCAAATCTTCCGTTATATTATGCGATACTATATTCTTTGCTGATACAAACAATGTCAATTCAATCCATTTACCATAAAAATTGAGTTAGATACAGCATTTTTAAACAAAATATTTAAATTGTTTAAGCGCCCTAACAGGACGGGCATTTAAATAAACTCCGGCCAGGTCAAGCTTACCACCATTTCAGAAGTCCGGCGTTTAAAGGTTAAACTTCGATCTCATGAACACGGATGG